TCCTTTTTTGGCTGTTCTACCTGCATTAAACATTAGTTGGGCAGAAGAAGTTTTAGTGAAGTATAATTTAGAGATTATTTGCATACTTAATGAAAGGGTCAAATTTGCAATGCCAGTAATATATCTGTTCTTCATTCTTCATCACGGTTGCTAACAAAGCAGGATATTACTTAACTATTCTGTGGAACTCAGAGTTTTAGCATCACAAAAATCAATGCAGAACTTTTGAAAACTGAAATAGTTGCATTTCTGATGCACTGTTCTGAAAGAGTTTTCTGTTCCTATTGCAGCATCTTAGATGTCTGACAGCTTATGTACCTCAGAAATTGTATTTAAAATCTTTAACTCAACAGTTTGAGATGAGAACAGGTGTTCCTGATGGATTTGTACACCTCTACAAGTGGGGTTTTTTCCTTCACTTTAATTTTTACCATTAATATGTTCAGGACTAGCTAAACTATGCAATGAAATTTTGTTAGCTTTTGAAAGGATGTGAAGACTTGTACTGTTCTGTGTTCTCACAGGCAGCAATATATGGGAGGGTGATCTGTTACACAGCTTACTGAAACATTGCCAATAAATATGTAGCTAGAAATAGTCAATTCAAGAAACTTTATTCAACTTCTTTGAGACTTTTTGGTAAGCTGTAGAGGATCCAAAATTTCCAGGTGATGTGGTTTCTTGGGCATTCTCTCCTTTCTAGTATTTCTGATCTCTCATACATGGCATTGGGAACTTCAGACTCTTGCTTCAGTTGGTTTCTTTCATGGGTATTGTGTAGCACGTGGGCCCACCCACAAATGTGGTGCTGATACTTGAAACCTATGCAGTCACCAGTTTAGGGAAGTAATTTTTTCAGCTGTTTTTCTTGAAATTTAAAATCTTCCATAACTTTTGACTTGCAGAAAATTTTCAGTATCTTGAAATATCACTCCAAAACTTTTCAGTCTGCTTTAAAATCTTTAGAAAAACAAATAATCAAAATGCTTTAAAACCTTCTCAAATGTTTTATTTATAAGTATTAAAACCATAAGTTGAACAACTTTTTGATGTGATCATGTTACTAGTGCTTGAAATCTAAATTCAGTATTTGATAACTAAGCAGAAGTACATCATATGTCATTACTAAGTATTCTATTTCAGCAGATAGTCTTCACTTAAAGAAAATTAATATATATTTGTATTGAAACACTCTTCAGGGTGAATTATTAACAGAGCTTTTATTCAAATAGCTGATACTTGGCATGAATATAGAAGTTGTGCAGAACTTAATTACTAAATGTGTAATATTTTAATGGGAGCCCATTCAGTATTCAGAGGAAGTTGAATCTAAAACTTTGAAAAAGTCTGGTGGTGTTTTTAATTTGAACATATTCATTTTACTTAGAAAAATGTAGATGGAAAGCACTAGTAAGGGAAGACGAGAAAGAAAAGAACCATAATTAATTGCTGATATTTAAATAATGAGTAGTGAACTGAATGTGAAGGCAAAGGCCTTGCCGTAAGTTTAATATCGGGGAGGAGTGCTGTATGGATAATCTTGTTACAAACTTTTCTGTCTCTAGCAGTGTAGATTCTGTTTTATCATTAATTGAACAGTGATGTCCCACTGTCCTGTCTATGGAAGAAACTCAGGTACAGTATTTAACCAGTAGTTGCACTGATGTCTGTAGGAGTACTTAAGACAGTAAATTTACAAATAAAATATGTATGTGAAGCATTTGCTTTGTGATACATTGCATCTGACCAGACTCTTCTGCAGTATTCCTACAGTTCAGTGATTTACAGGTGAAAGTTCATGACTTCTCAGAATTAAAAATTAATGTTAATTTCATATACTTTAACAAGATAGCGTAAAGCTGTATTCGCAATGCATTGCTTCAAGTATAAAAGGAGTGGGCTTTCTATTAGTAATTCATAAAAGCTGTACTCCTAGTATATTATGCCATGCTAGCATCATACTTCCATGTCATTACATTCTGCCTTGAAGTCTGTTGGTCTTCAGTGCACCATAATTAAGTAACTCTCTGACACAGCACTTCCTGTTTTGGAAATAAAGCTAAATACAGTCCTTGATGCCTAATGCAGTGCAGTTTGTATTAGGGCATGTGGTTACTGTTTTCTTTCTTCCATTTGAATTCATACAGAGATTGTTTTATGTATTTTGTTTTATGTATTTGTACTGAGTAACTTCTTGGGGACTGCAGAATAAATCAAGGAGATGATAGTCAAAAGTTTCACTTTCACTTTAACCCTGAGAGAATAACTGAAAAATCCTTGAACTGAAACTGATGGATTTAAACTGTCTTTACCCTGTGGTGTTTAAGACAAAAGCCTGATTCTGGCAGTGTGTATTGACCCTGTTGGAGTGATAGCAAAATCAATGAAGAATGCTGTATATTTTAAAAAAAGATGTAACGAACAAAGCAAAAATAAAGCCAACCTATATATATTAAAAAAGAGATATCTAACTGTAGGCTAAACCTGCAGAAGTGGCATTATGGTTTACTAGGACACTGTTTCTGGCAAGATCTTTAGAACTTAGACTGACTTGTGTATGATACACTATATTAAGAAAATACTTAACTTACAGACTCAGATCTTATTTTTTGTACTTAGTAGGATGCCCCTCAGTTTGACAACTGCGGTTGTACAGGCGTTGCTGTGAGGCAGAGCAGCCAAGGAGCAACTGTTAGGACATGGTATGCTTTTTGCTTTGAAAGCTGGAAGATAGCTATTGCTGATCCTTGTGAACAGCAAGCAGAGAACTAACCTATTGCTGGAAGCTGAAGCAGCTCTGTGGAGGCTCTCAGATGAATTGCATACAGCTAAGCAGCCAATATTCTGACCACATGCCCCAAACCAAGGGACCCCAAAGGGCTCTGTACCTGAAATGTAGCTGTACATTAAAGCAAGGCAACTCCTTAAAGAGAGTTTAGAACTGCTGGGCTGAGATGGATTAAATGGAGATGAGCCCTTGCTCATGAGAGGAGAGGTGGTGGGTCTCTTCTGCCAGTCCTGATTTCTGGTTTAGCAGCTTTTGTGGTCTGCCTTGCACAAACCCGGGCCCCCCGTGCCCTTCCACACGCTTTCAGGCTGTGGGTTCTTGTGCACAATTTCTTCATACTCTCTCTGGGCTGTCTTTCATTGCTTTTGATTTTTATTGCCTAGGAAACAACTAAACTTGCTCTCAGTCACTCTTGGGAAGAATCAGTTGTCATCTTTGTTCCTGAGGATTTTTCCAGCCCAGAAGGTGTAGGTGAGCTTACTCGGCGAGTCTTTCCTGCTGTCCAGCCACAGTCTTCCCAAAGAGCTACTACATACAATGACTTGTGAACAGACAAGTATCTATCCTCTCTTGTAGGTGAATTGGTATCTAATTTAATTGAAGGATTGAACTTTGAAATAATTTCTGTGCTTCACAGAAAACAACAATGTAATGTTTTGTTTTCTTTGTCTAATATTGGCAGCATGTGTGTATTTGTAATTGAAGATGTGAAAATAGAAGTAAAATAGGTCCAAATGTTTGCTGGAAGAACAATAATAGAATTACTGACACTAATAGAATTTAGTCATCCACTGATGATACCTAAATGAGCAAGAAAAAAGGGAAACCCTGTTCCTTCTTGCATATTCCCCCAAGATTGTGTTATGGTTTGGGAACTAATCCATCGATGCATGCTATCCATGCAAAGAAGGTCAAAACTGCTGTTCAGCTGATTATAATGGGACTGTCTTACAAAGTATCACCTTGATTGTGCTGGTTGCATTGTAGGAGTCTTTCAAATTACAAATCTCAGTGATTATGTGCCTAGCAGTGCTTTTAACACTTTCTGGTTTGCTTGAACATAATTTACAGCTTTTGTATTATGCCTTCACTCACAAATTTTGCAGGTGGTTGTATTGGTTACCACAGATGACATTTGCTGTCTTTCTAGAGGAAAGCTGAATACTGATGGTTTATTACAAGTAAAACATGGATTTTTTTTTTTTATTATTATTTTAATTTATCTGGACTCTTTAGAAATTAGTCATGGTGGGGAGTTCACTTGTGAAATGCTGCAAAATACAAAAAAGTGTGTCAAATCAAGTCTGATCTTCCATCTGAACTATTTGGGCAAGAGTCTTAGCATATTATGCTTTCAAATATTTGTAGTCAAAGTTTTATAGGTATCTCCAGTAACTAGTTTAAGAATGCTATTAGTCCTGTCAGTCTTCTGGTTTGTGTAGGGTGGCTCCAAAGTACTGGTATTTTGCTGGCTCCCTTTTATTTGTGTTCTGTTTGGTTTGGTTTGTTCGTTAGTTTTATTTTCAAAATACTGTACTGGATAGAAATCTGTTTTAAAAGTGAAAGTCCAAGATAATCTCAGCTGCAGTTTTTCCACATGGAAGTGTGGTGATGAGCACTCCACTCTCCAGGTGGTTAGTGAGCATGTTGAAGGCTAGGCCTAGGAGGGATGATGACTTTTGCTGGTCTTTCCAGGTGCTGCTGAAATGTTTAAGTGCTTGGTAGGTTTGAAGAGCATGTGACATGAAAAATCAGCCAGCTGTTGCCATTCTGTTTTGTCCCTTTGTTTTCACTCCTTTTCCTCCATTAGGTGTGCTGCATGCACTTTTTAAAAGCTCACTTTAGTAGAGAGGTCTTACTGGTAAAAGCTAGTATTCTGGGGTTTTATTTCCAGCAAATAAAAAGTCTTTGGTATCTGATGCTTTTTATTTATGGGATGAGACATTTTTATTTGTAGGAGAGAGGATGACATGATGTGAAATGAGGAATTATGTTAAAGGGGGTTAAGCTCTAGGAAGGTAAAAGTATATTATGTATCTTGGGAGTGAGAGGGAAGTGAAGGTAGGTACTGAAATAGATTATTTTTAAAATGTTATATTTCTGCAAGTGATTTGTAGGTTTTTGTTGTTTTTTTTTTTTTTTCTTTAAAAAGCTTCTAGTACTGGGAAGTCTAAAATTTGTTCTGCAATGGATATCTTTTTCCTTCCAACAGGACGTGACAATGCATGTGAGAAGACTTCATACATGTTTCTGCGGAAGGAACTTCCTGTGCGACTAGCTAACACAATGAGAGAAGTCAATTTGTTGCCTGACAACTTACTTAACAGGCCTTCAGTTGGGCTAGTACAGAGTTGGTAAGTTTAAAAAAAAGTGGATTGAAAAATTAGTGTAAAGCTAACACTATATGTGTTGCTTTACTTGCAACTCAACTTGAATGGTCTTGAAGTCAATTTTCTGCCTTGAATTGTTTATAATGTGTATTTTTTGTCAAATGAAATTTAATTTTCTTCTGTCTAATGTTTTAAGTAAATAATATGGATCTTAGAGAAGAATTTGTAAATCAGTCTTGTAAGTTAGTAAAACAGTACTGTTGTCTCCTAGATAATTAGAATCAGTCGGTAACTTTCAAGAGCGAGCTTTTAAAATACTCCTTAGTGTATTGCACCCATGACTTCTTGAGTTAGCTATTCTTTCTCCTTATTCTTCCTTTGCCAAAAATACAGAAAGAAAATTTAAACTTCATCCATGCTTCTCATTGCTAAATCTTTAAAAACATAAACTGGTATTCAGTAGAAGTTACCGAACGTGAGAAAAATCTGGTGTCATTCAGTAACATTCTCCATTGTAATGACTAGCATATACCAGAAGTGATTCAAAGTCCTGTAATCTTTTCCACAGTAATTAATTTCTAGCCTACTTGCATGTTCAGTGAGGTTTGGAGACTACTGCCTTGTATGTATTAAGCTTTAAACAAATAGTCATTCCTGGGGTATTTGTTGTATCTCTACCTGCAAATATTTGGTCCAAAGAATTGATGTAAAAATACCTTTGCAGAATAAAACAAACTTGCCTTTGTGAGTAACAGCTTATCTAACTAACAGCCGCTAATATTGTAGGCTTCTGTTACGTTCAGTCATAGCCCTTGAGCCAAGAAATTCCACATTGACTGTGCATTGACTGATTGATTTGGTCTCATATTTATCAGGCCTCAGACTTAGAAATTAGGATATGTGATATTGTGTACTTTGGTTTAAATATGTTTGTCTTTGAAAGGTAATACTAGCTGTGTTGATGACCACTTCAAACATAATGATTAAGTGCTTCAAATAATTGTAAATGCTGTGGAGCCACACAATAACAATCACTTTGTGGTTAAGTGGCAGCTTGCAAGGTTTGAAGGCTTCATCTGTCTGATATTACCAAAGGCTGTTATGTCAAATAGGAGAGAATGGATAATATGCAGGCCTTTTAGGCTTTTCTGATCTAGATGACTTGTGAAGCTGTCTTTGGTGAAATGTGGACAGATAGGTAAATGAAGAAAAGGAAGTAACTTTTCTGTGACTCTACAGCATAATTATTCTAGTCCAAATACATGCTTTGTGGCATATGCTTCTGCCCTGTTAATACAGAGTCAAGCAACATTTGGATCACTTCTAGCAAAGGAACTGAATGGGTGTTTAGAGTGGCTTCCCCCTTTAGAATTTTTGCTTAGAGGTTTGAGGACTCATGGGATGACTCTTATGGCTACAACAGATACTACTGATTTAAAAACAAAAAAAATCAGTTTTGAGTGTGTTGGAATACATAATGACTGTAAGATACTTGTCCAAAGATATTTGATATGATAATGTGATTTGCATTATCACAGCTGTAGACTAATAGTTTTCTGTTAAATGGGCCAAAATATCAGACTTCAACGTGATGGAGTTCAAGTGGACATCCAACCCAGAGATGGAAGTTTGAAATCAAAATGTTTGTCGTAGTGTTCTTCTAATTTTAATCTTCAGTTAACTATCAGTTTTTGTGGAAAGGGATATCTTCACTAAGACTATGTAAGAATATTTTTGTGATCTTATGTCAGAAGTAGCAAAAGTAACTGTAGCATGTTGTTTTCCTGATTATAAATGTGGACTTTAAAGAGCTTCTTTCTTATTTTTCTGTTTAGAGGTTTTAAATTGCTCTTTTAAACATTTACCTGTAGATTTTAAGTCCTAGTGATGTACTGGTGATGAACTTTGGGCAAAATTTACTGTATCAGTTAGCTTCTAAAAAGACCAAAACAAAAGTTTTATTAAAGTCGGTGTGAATGACTTCGGGTATTATGCAACTATGCTGGTAGAAGATTTTGAAACATATTTATAATTTCTTAACCTAAAGTTTAGACATATCTAGAGATGCCTGCATTTTATGAAGTAGAATAAATAAATATAAATTTAGGTGTTCAGTTGTTTTGTGAACTTGTAAAATGAAGAAAACTCTTCCTGACATGTTTGTTACTTCAAGAAATTTCCTTCAGATCAGATTTCATGATCTGTTATTTTTACTATGCCGTAGGTTGAGGAAGCTTGACAATTTATTAATATGCAAACAAAAAATCTGATGTACATTTGCCACAAGTGAGCAAAGACATAATTTTATGCATTATTCAACTTAATCTGTTTATTTGCTAATTTTCAGTAATTTACTTAGCAACGTACTTAGGATTGATTTACACTACCACTTTGCACTAGAAGCCTGTGTTTTTATGTGCTTTTGGTGAGACTCCAAATTAGCTGGAGCTCTAAAATTTAAGTTCACAGTCTATCCCTTAATGTTAGCATGCCAAAAAATACAAAAAGCTCCTAATCTTTAAAGCAGGCTTTATTAAATTTATAAATTAGAATACAGTGGTTCTGTAAATAGATGAAACTTAGGTTTGGTGGATTAAGAAAACAAATTAACCTTCCCTGCTGTAGAGCATGGATCCTTTTCTGTCAATCCTCTGTCCAGCCAGGCAGTGACATTGTGAATTGCATTAATTTCGTAGTCCTTTATAGGGCCTGTGGGAAGCAACCTCATGTTGTCACTTCTGAGAATGCGCTCCTGGCTGCAGGCGAGCCCTGTTCTCTTCTCGGTTCTCTAATCCATCTTCATGGTCATGCTGTAGGCACTTTGCTTCCTGTACCACGCTCCGTGACTGCATTGCGCTGCCTAACAGATTTTACAACTGATTGCATCATTGCTCACAGGAAAGGTGCTTTTTTTTTTTTCCCCTCCTTTTCTGGGTTGCATAGACTGATGTGTGCAGCGATGAGGATAGGCAAGACAGCTGTCCTTCTTTTGTACTACTCAGCTATGTTTAGCTGAATAAAGCTGGCATTGCCCACAGAGTGAACTATGAACACACGCACACACACACAAAAAAGTTTTGCATTTCAGTCTGTGCATAGGTAAAACATTAGCTCTGTTCCAGTTCGAGTTTGTAACTCAGTTTATGTGTATGTTTTGTGGAGTAGCAAGGCAAGGAATAAAGTGAATCAGAATAACAACAGGGTTCTGGCTCTGAACTGCAGCGATTCCAAATAATAGAGAGATCAACAACAAATATGCCAGGGTTTGGCAACTTATTTTCAGTGTTTCAAAATTAATGGGTAGCTTCCTAGTTCCAAAGTAGTGGGCCTTTTAGGCCAGCTTTGAGAGGGCACTCATTAGCTAAAGTGCAGTGCAGGTAGGATATTGAACATGTGGCAGAACTGCATAATAAAGGATACCATTGCTAATGCTGTGTGATGAGAGAAACTAGTTACAATAAAACCTTATAATGGATAAGATCAGAGCTTGTAAAATATCCAAAGTGAGTGCGAGATTTGCACAGTATGCTATTCAATCATATCTAAAATTCCCATTTTAATTAACCCTGATCAAATTTCTTTACTTAACTTTAGTACCTATCTCTGGAAAAAGCTATAAATTTCCATTTATCTACTTGGAAAGACTCATTTGAGAAATCAGTACAGTTTGGGGATTAGTAATTGTTTTTCCTCTATTTTTTACATTCAGACTATGCTAACAAGATTGTGTTACCATGGAGATATGTTTTATCGGTTCAGTTCTTTGGTGTTAGAGAGTTTCTAAAGGAAAATCTTAGTGAAATACACATAGGGAAAATGCAAAGGTAGCTTTCATGAGTTTAGAAAAAAAATTAAAAATCTGGAGTTGGCATTATGGGCATTTACAGTGATTTCATATATGAAATGTGCCATTCTAGAATTATTACATTTGGTAGACTAACAAGAATTCAATCTACCTGGCAATAATTAATGAAAGAACGAGGCTGAAGGGTGCTTGAAATCAAATAGCTTGTCCAATGAATTGTAGTGTATAGTGATAAAAAATTAAACACCAGAAAGACAACAGATTTGAAGGGCATAGGCTTTGATTTCTGCTTTTGGTAACTCACTGATGATAGCAAAATGTAACATTATCTTTTTTTTTGTCTATGCTGTTTCAGTGTGGGGTTTTTTTGCCCTTTTTTTTTTTTTTTGTAAATTTATGTCCTGTGTAGTTGTATTTGTTTACTAATAATACAGCTAGTCATACCTTGTTCTGGTACCTTCCTCCTTTATTCTAGCTGGTTGGTAACTGTGCGTGAAGTGTGTTTAAAACACCACAAGTCTTGCTTTTCAGTGCTTGATAAATCCTGTAGTTACCACCTTCATTTATCCATATCTGCACCCACAATTCAAATAAAAAGAAAATGCAAGGAAACAGATGAATTATATGGAAGGGGAATGACCTTTTTTACACACACAAGTTATTACAGGAGTGAACTGAATTACTGGCTGTTCACTGTTAGGCAGATTGTAACGTTGGTGGTTAAGACAATGTAGTGAACTATTTATTACAGCTAACCAGAGTCATAAATTTCACTTTAAACAAGTTTTTACTTTATTTATTTTTGACATGCTTGGGAGGGAGCAGAAGGGATTAATTTACTGTAGAGACTGGAAATCACAACTGGATAGAAGACATACAGCATTTGCAGCTCTGAGTTGTTATTTAGAGACTTGGGGTAATGTACAGGGTATTACAACATCCCAGGTTGGGTGACATAGTGGTAGGCATTGGACAGTGGGTTAGATTTTTGACATAAGATTACTTCTTTCTAGCTTCATTTGGTCAAGGTATTGGAAGAAAATCTTGTAACTTAGATTTGAAGTTAATAACCTTTTCTCTGAGCTGGTCCCTCTAACTTGCTGGATATAGTGCTTGTGCTAATGAGCTTGACTTCTGAAGTAATATCAATTTGATTTATAATCAGAAAGAGATATCTACGTACTGTTGATAACCATATAAAGGAAGAGCATTGCCTGTTTCCTAGTTTCTCCATCACGACAGAGATTAAGGAGAAATCACTTTAGCTCATTTATAAATCTCCTTAGTGCATTTAGTTTGTGTAATTTTCCTTTGTTCTAGAAACTCTCAGTTCCTCATTGGTGCTATGTTGAGCCTGCAACAGAATGACCTCAGAAGCTGTCCTGCCTGCTGGTTATGCTGAAGACTGGTGACCATGTCTGGCAGCTTTTTTCTGGTTGAGACCTCCTTTAGCTGTCTTCTGACTGAAACAGTTTTCTGCACAATTACTTCCCTGCATTAGATGAGAGAGTCACTTGGCTTGCCCCTGCCTGATACTCTAGTAAAAGTGCTGATCCTTCAGCACAGGAGTAGTGATGTTTGATTATTCCAGGGGCTGCGGTCTTGGGACCAATGTCCTAATAAGCTAACAGAGTATGAATCTCAGTACAGTACACCAGTAATGGTAGGCAACCAAACAAATCCACACAGCACAAAAATCAAGTAGCAGCACCAGAAATACTTATTGCTGTTTATCCTCAGCATCAGCTGATTGCTGATGTTCAAGATTTCTGGTAGGAGGTCTGTAGCAAAAAGTGCCTGCTGTGTTGCTTCTCAAGTGTCCTGGATCTCCAGAGGACTTTCATAATATTGTATGATGACAAACGAGGGTGAGCAGCTTCCTAATAACCTCCTCTGACTTGGCCATGAGAGAAGCTGTCACTTCTTTCATGGCACAGATTTATGGAAGCATCTTTCATACAGGAAGAAGCTAAGAGAGCTGAATATCACAGTTGTTCAATCTAAAGAAGAGAAGGCTTGGGTGTACCACTGATAATAATTGTGTATTATCAGTGTGTATGAATACCTAACGGCTAGAGAATGAAGATCACGGAGTGAGACTTTTTATAGTAACGCTTGGTGACAGGACAAGAGACAATTAACACAAAGCACATGAAATTCCATCTGAACATAAGAAAAAACTTTTTTTTACGGTGAGGGTGATCAGACACCACAAGAAGTTTGCCCAGAGAGGCTGTGGAGTCCCTTCTGTGGAAATTTTCAAAACCCAGCTGGACATGGTTCTGGACAGCCTGCTCTTGCTGACCCTGCTTGAGCAGGGAGGTTGGACTAGATGATTTCAAGAGATATCTTCCAACTAAACAATTCTGTGATTTTGAATTTCTGTGGAAGGCTGGCTTGCAGCCCTGGGTGTTTTGGGAGACAGAAAGGGCTATTGTTGTCTTTATGAAAATGGGTATAGAAGAGTAGACTGGGGGTGTGGGGGAAAAACAAAGGGAGGGCAAGGAAAAAAAAAATTAAAGGTCTCCCCAAAATCGGGAGGATGGCAACAGAAAATATTAAGGGAAGCTTATTTCAAACCCAGAGGAAGGTTTGAAAGGGTGGGAGAGGGAAGCATAAAGCATTAGAGGGGTGGTTGCTGACAAACGTGCTGACACTTAGGGCATTTGGTCTTTTATGTATTACGAGAAATACTTTACAGTGTGGAGGGTACTTGTGACAGTCCATAGTCTGCCTCTTGGCATGTATCGTACCTATGCTGGAGAAATCATGGTGTTTTGGTCACTTACTGGTTCAGGTCATGATGTCTGCCTTGGATTTCACACATTTGATGCACATCTACAGCAGCTTCCAGTTTAGCTTCTTCTGAAAAGAACCTGATCTTTCTGAAGTGCCTGAAACTATTCTGCAAATATAAGCAGTGTGGATTAAGTGAATATTATTGGGAGATTAATTTTAAAACCATACCACAGGTTTAGATTTGGAAATAAAAATGCTAGTGTAGACAGTCATTGAGTGGCAAGAGGTCAACCTGTAGTTGAGGAATAGACTAAGACTCCTTCATGCAGGTATTTTTGGTGTAGATTGCTTCTTCCTACAGAATCAAATATTATGCCTGATTTCCTTTTACCACACAAACAAATTTAAGACAGCAAATATTTATTTATATCTTAAGCTATATCACTTTTTTAATTCCTAAATGTATTTGCAAGAAAAGAACGCCACGTGAAGGATACCTTTTTCTATATTTGCAGAAAAACTCCAGAAAGTCAGTTTCCTCTTTGAGACAATTATGGAATGAATGACTTGGGTATGTTCTCATTACCCATCAAGGAAATGGTGAAGGAAGTAGCAAAGAGTGGTTGTGGAGTATCATGTATTCACTAGAGGCAGAGCAAAATTAGGCACGGGAATGGGTCTTAAGCGTTGTTTCTGCATGACGTTGCCTGGTTTGGTGAGAAGTCAAAAGCTCATCTTACTGCCTCCATAGAGCCAAACTGATGATACCCTGAATTGCCTCATTGTCCACCCCTTTCTCATCTTTTATTTTGGAATTCCTTTGCTGATTATTTATTAGTGTTTTGCTCACTGTAATAATGTTACCTTTTTTTCCCCATCCTGTACCCATGATTAACTTTATTGACCTTGATTCATATGAGGCAGATGACGTTGAAGAACACATACCTCTTTGAAACAAAGGAGTGAGGGTGATCATAGTTTGTTACGTGTTGAGTCTTGCAGGTGAAGCAGCTGAGTTCAGACAGTAAAGCAGCTTTTCCCAGTGAGACTTAATAAAAGGGGAATGCATGCAAGGACACATTCTTAAAGGAGATTGGTTCTCATTCACTCTCAGAATCTCAGTTCCTCCTCCAGCTGATGGTCCTGATGATTCTTCCCCTGCCTCTCAATCCTCCACATCGTGTATACTGTTCCTGCATAGTTAGAACTGCTTCCCTGTTTTTCTAACTGCGAAATGTTGCACTTTTCAGGAACTCATCTTCAGTGGATAGGGGACTGTGGCTCCTTAAATTACTGCCTGTTCCCTTAAATGCCCTTAGGCAATTTCTTGAATTCCTGGGAATGTAGTGTGATGGTTGTTCTAAAGCTGGTACTACCTCTTAAGAGTGTAAAAGAGCGTGTTTTAAAATAAGCAATACTAGAGACTTCAGCTGCTTCCAAAACTTGCAACTGACAAACATTTGGGGGATTTATGTAGTCGTTTGTGATGGTTGCAGGAGGGCAAAATCACACAGAGGGACAGGAGCTAGTGTTACTGTGATGACCATGTTGAATATGTCAGTAACCCGGGAGAAATGTGATGGTTGTGACCTGTGATGGTTGCAACTGAAGTGTGGATTGGAGTAACAGCATGTGGTTCTGGAGGGAGTCATGTAGACTGCATTGCTGTCTTAAGCTTTGCTGTAGCTTGAAGAAGTAGGGTGGAGTTTCATAGCTTGCTTAAGATGATCTTAACCCAGGACTGCTACCAAAAAAAGTTTTGTTGTAATGTGAAGTTGTCCACGTTTCAGTGTCTGGGGTCTGTCTCACAGGCACTAGGCTTATGCATAGACCATTCTGTTGAGCTGATCTATTGGGTTGCTGCTACTGAAAGGGGAAAGGCTTGATCACTCATTTTGCCTTTTCCTTATGTAGGCTTTATGGTTATCTTTTCTCTCTTGTGCTAGCTTTAGCCAGTTAGACTTGTTCCAGGAGTTGTTTTCATGTCTGAAAATGATTAAAGAACCAAACCAAGCCTATGTGGCTGGCTGTTTTACCCTTGTGGGGAGTCATAGCTGTTAACACACACACACCTGATTAGCATTGACATTATCATAGTGCAAGTGACTCTGCAAGGGGGGACAAAAGGGAGGGGAATGGCAGCTCCTTCTGATAACATTAAAACCCTACATTTTATGTGTGTGATTAACACCTTGTGTGATTTGCTTCAAGAAATAGATTCCAATTCTGTAATCCTTAAAGCTACATGTATACTGCTAAATGCACCTGCTTCAAGGTGTGCTACCTGGTCCTCATTAGTAATGTGACATAATGGCATTTATACTGGTGTTGAGCTAGTTTCTTACGGAGAAGGCTGGCGATGTTCATGTTGATTGGTACTTTGCCTTAAATCTTCTTTGGGTCTTGTGTGGTCCCTCTGTGGCTCTAAGCCTCGGTTAATACCTCATGTGTGCCGAGTCTCTGAACTAGAAAGAGCTGTGTTGTAAAAACACCACTCTTATTCAAAACTGAGGGTTGTGTCATGTCACCCGAGGTACAGCAGTGTGAGGAGATGTGGGAGTGTGTGAAGGGACATACTCTTCTGGAGTGCTGTGGTAGGACCTGCTTGGTGCGGTCTTGATAGCACAGCTTTAGGGAGTGTTTCTTGGAGCTTTATTTTGTAAGGAAGGTTGTATTGCCCTCTGAGGAACGTAGGAGCAATGTAACATCTGTACAAAGTGAGTGACCAGGAAATCAAGATCCAGGGACAAACTAAATTACCTGAAATTACAGGCCTACCCGAAAAGAGAGTTTGCTCCTGTTAACTCCAGCTTGATTTATATAGCAGTTTTCCTGAATCATGGACTATAGGATCATAAGTAATACTTTTAAATTCAATATAACACATTGTAGTTGCTTTCTTTCCCTTTGTTGCAGCATCCAGCTTCACTGTAGCCTTTGCAGAGAATTGTGTACTATGTTTCTGTTGTTTCATATGAGGTTGTAGTCTTAAGATTAAAAAAACCTAAAAAGTAATTTGGATTTAAGTATTTCAACTCTTTCTTTATCATTTTTGCTTATTTCAGGTACATGCAGAGTTTTCTTGAGCTTTTAGAATATGAAAACAAAAGTCCTGAGGATCCTCATGTTCTGGATGAGTGAGTAATTTGTTTTCTTGTGACGGTTCATTTTAAAATAATTTGTCTCAAATAACAAGTGTTTTTGTACTTCAGGATAACAGTGACCTTATTTGTAAGGTAGAATTTGTGTATCAAAGGACAGAATTGTAATCTGGAGCAGAATATAGGAATCCAAGTGCTTTTGAGCAATGTATTTTGCATTTACACAGTCTGATAGCTTAAGAAATGACATGAAATGCTTCCTCCAAAGCTGTATTGAGAAGACAACATGCATGTGAGAATATACTTGCCTATCAAATACTTACATCAAAAATGTCATTTTAGTATACACTGAATTTTACTCTGTATATAATGCATATTAACACATTAATACTTTGAATTTTTTCAGTTTAAAAACATTCAATGTGTCAGCCTGGTTTTATCTAAAAACTTATTGAATGGACTTCAATTATTGGTGTTCATCTACCTCAATTGAATATTACTTATGTTTTGAGAAGAAAGGAAAGCTTAGTCAATTCTCTTTATCAACAAAATCATACTAAATCGCCATTGGAATGTTTTCTTGAAATTTGTATGCATAAAACAGAAAAGAATGACACATGTAAGTGAGAACAAGTGCAACATATGCATCAGAGACTTAAAAACAAACAAACAAACAACCCAAAACAAACCTTTCCCCCTGACACTAAGGTCTGTGGTTAGCCTCTAAGGTATAGCAGTCAACTTTAGTTTCAGGAGATTACTTCTTGCAGATTTTTTGTTCCATTGACTGGTTTTCTTAGGGTAGCTTGTCTTTTAAACTTGAATTTCATTTTACGCTCTGGAAGTCTTGCCTCATCAAGCAGTCCTTCATACGAAGTGTTTCATAAAACATTTTGTAGTCCAACAAATGTTCTGTTTGTGCAAGATGTGGCCTGTGCTGTGCAAAAATGGTGTTTTGTCTTCATTTTGTTTCAGATACATTAATTGCTATGTTAGGTTAAGTAAGGATTCTATTAGGTAATGCACTTTAGATATTATGCTCTTTTGGCTGTGGGCATGTTATCCGAGATCTTTACACTCTATTTTTTAAATATCAAGCAATACATGGAGGAGAAATTCAAGTGCACAAGTACCAAATTCCCTGCATGGCAGAACTGTAAAAGGAGCTGTTAGGATTATAGACTGAGTGAATTGTAGTGCTATTGAACAAGGGGAAAGTAACTGTTTTCTCAGTGCAAGTCCTAAGCTGGAATACTGTCTTTAATTCTATGTAATATCTATTAAGAAATTAAAATGCATGTGGACAGTATTGATGTAAAAGGCACAAGAATTAGAGAGTTGGATAGCTCCACCTCTGAATAATTTTGAAGACATTTGTTTAGACTGGCAGAAAAGAGATTGAAGTGCAAGACACTAGAAGTCTGAGTGTGCCAAAAAAGAAAAAGTCACTGTAATAAAGGATGACTAGTTGCTGCAGGTGAAGAAGCATAGAATTTAAAAATGACTGACTTAATAAAGTTGAGATTGTACACATGACAAAAAGTACAAATTCTAATATTGAGAACAGACTGAAAAAGACCATTTCAGAAGGCTACAGAGCATTCCATTTTAAAAGCTTTTAAGAATAGATTAAATAGCTTTCAGTGATGTTCTAGGCATGCTTATTCTGTAATGGATACATTAGATGAACTTTTTGACTACCTCTAGCTGTTACATTTTGTGATTGTGTATTCACAACCTGTTTGCTGATGGGACAAGGATTTCTGTTTGTGACTACTTTAGCAGTAAGTTTTCCTACTGCTTGACTTAACATTTTGAGTGGGATTAAGTTACCAAAGCACAAGTGTCTGTTGCCTTTTGAGGTGGCATCAGCTGTCCTACACATCTAAGTGATCCTAGGAAGTGTAACACAGATTCTATTGAGCCTATAATGTCCTGGATGTGCAGGTGGAGACAAGGTGGTTATGTAGCTTCTGGTACCATCTTAAATGTATTTAGGTAACTGAATTTCAGCTTTTTGTGGACTTCAGAGATCCAAGGTAAATCACAGTATATGTACTTTACTTTTAAAAAGGTTGATCAACAATTTTCTTCGAGATCTGCTTTTAGAGTCTGTTCATAATTACCAAATGAATTATCTGATTCTGCCATATGGATAACATGCATTCTTGATATTGTTTCATGGCAGTTGGAAATACTGTTTGAGATGATCTGTTAGTATGACTTGCCAAATATCTGATGATGAACCAAATATTTACTAATTCAGCATAACTGTTAAAATCTTTGAAGTCTTGCAATTACTGTATTATATGTAAGTACAGATAAGAAGTATGCTGGGAATTTTTTGCTACCTACTGAGGTAAAGTCCAGCTAGGAACTTCGACAGCAAGAGTCATCTTTTATACTAAGTTTGGCGTGTGAAAAGAGGTGTAAGACATGTTATCCAATTAAAGAGCAAATTTATTCTTCTTGGCAGTGTTGGATAGACTACCTAAGATTAGAAAGTCAGATTTACTTTCTTGTTCTTTGGATGTCATACATTCATAACTTTCTGAAGGCTATGCCATTTAACTGGATATTGAGCTGTAATTAGCTATTATTTTAATATTCTTTGCAAACTATGGCTTCCAAAAATACTCTTAACTATGTCCATATTTATATTGTAATAACCCGTAGATAAATCTGACAAATTTCTTAACTTCTGTACCAGTATTCCACGTTGCTGCTGTATAGCCCTATGCTACTTTTATGCCTTATGGTCAGAGGAGAAATACTGGGAATTCCAGTAGTTAGTGAACTACTTTTCAGTGGAAAAAAGCACACACCTAACTTATGTTTACATAACAGTATTCTATCCTTTAGTGATTGCATCTATCAATTAATACAGAAATGGAGCCCTTATCTGGGACTTTTTGGGTAATGTCTTTAGAGATGCGAGAATAGGAATAGTACTTTGGTTCAACCAGCTTGGTTTGCTTAGAGAAGGACGTGTGAAAGTTGTCTCTGTAAGGTTTGCCTGGTCCTTTGAAACAGCGTTTCTGGTCCTAGCAGTATCTGCAATGTATCTCTGAATACCTTGTGTACAGCAGCATATGAAGAGGGGTTGGAGCATGCTTCATCTTTTGGTTCCTTTCAGCTGTCTTGTTTATGCATGGAGCATGCTGTAGAAGTGTACATATTAATACTATATATTATGTACTTCATATTACAGAAGACCCAGTCTTGCATCCTTTGGTCATCATAGTGCCCAGCCTTGTTGTGGTATCAGATGATTTACACATTTCATTATGGCCCCCATCTCTTCTTCCTTTAGCTTAATTAGTATCTCAAAATGTGAGACTTGCCTGGATGGAAGTACTTGTGCTCCAGTACAACTCCAGCAGCTTTTTTTTGGAACTGAATGTGATGTCCAACTGGAGCACTCAAAAATGGTGAAGACTTACAGAGCAGTTGATTTTTTTGGAAATTGAATGAGTGCCTTGGTGGTCTTCTTGTCAGCTGAGGTGGACTTCAGTTTCTGTTATGGCTAATCATGGTAATAGCGAAGGAGAGAAGGGGATGTAAAATGATCTTTTAAAGAGGTTTGATATCCACAGATGTGCTGTATCCATGTTGGCAGTAGTTTTTCAGTTAATGCTTTCTAAAATGATGGAATGACTTGATAAGTTGAACATAACTGTCCCCTGACTATTTGTATTATATCTCAGCTTGTCTGGGGAGCCTGCTCTGGTGTTCAGAATTTGGGCTCTTTTTCCGAGGAAACCATTTCATGTGTCAGTGTTACAGGATTATAGATGTTATCCATGTACTGGCACAGCTGTCTGAAGCCATGCAGTGAAGTAAAGCGGGAAATGCATCTGGTGGAAAGGTAGCCCACTTTCAGCCCTATGGTCCCTAAACTGTTACGCCATGTGGCCTACAAAGACAGACAGCAGTGCCAACACAATAGAGAGGGGGAATGATTAGGGGTAAGTGCAGAGACTGAACTAAAGCTGGTGATTTTGAGTGACTTATCTCTGCTCTCGGTGTATGAATTTGAGGACAGATGTATGTTTGAGTCTTACCTTTCTATGAATGTTGAGCAAAATCCTTTAAAGAGATTTTTTTGTCTCAGTATTTCTGTGAAGAGGAGGTTCAGAGGTGCTTCAGTTTCTTTATTACATTCTGTTGGTTAGCTGACCTTATGAAGACTTACTACAACATAGCCACTTCACTGTCAGTAGTATGGGCATATGCCAAAAGGTCAGGTCACTTTTGCATTTTGAGAACACAAATGTATTTCCTCGAGCTGCAGAGTGCTCAGGTGGAAGCCTTTCCACAGTTCTGTCAGTGTGATTGCAGGAGCATTAAGATATGGTGGCCATGCTTGGTAGAGGGTGTAAGCTGGTGTTGGAAATTTCCTGTGGTGTCAGTATGCACCTGGGTAAACACACAGAGGCAGAAGTTGGTTTTCAGAGATTGAAGGGTTTGTAAAATGTGCTGTTCATGTGTACTTTCAAAGAGCACTTAGTGTGTTCCAAATACCTCAGTGTCTTTGCTGATTTTTTTCTTTGTGGCACTCTTGTCGGAGGGTGTGTGAGGGAGTGTCCTGGAACAGAGCAACTGAAGTAGTAAGCTGTCAGTATGTCTAGAGATAATGCAAACACAAGAAACATAGTAAACAAGAAGTAACTTTCCTTTCTGCAGCACTGAGATTAGAATAGTGATTCTGTTAGCAATTTGAAATAAGTAAAGACTGCAGTAGATTTCATTTAGAAGGTGACATTTTGTTACTATCAAGTAATGTGAAATGCTACTTCAGTTAGTTTTGCACTTCTAAAACAGCTCCACTTTCTAGTAGAGAAATCTTTCAGAGTGTGAGCTTGTACCTGTCTAATTATTCTCTGCTATCAGCTAGCACTTCTTTAAAAAAGAGCAGCCAATCAAAAAAAAAATTGCATGTCTGTTCCATTTAAAGGGATTTTTTTTTCAGTCTACTCATCACTTTCTTGTTTTTAGTCTTTCAGATAATACTATCCATAAGCAAACATTCATTTTCTCTTTATATTGACTTCCTTATGACTTCTTTTCTTGCACTGTGATAGCTCAAACCAGAATAATATATACAGTCATTAGGGACTTATATAATGACTTGTGTTGTGACTTTGATTGTCTTTGCAGAAGTCTATAGGCTTAATTTATTTAACAGCAAAGGTAATGCCTTAATTATTTTGTTAATATAGAAGCCACTGAAGCTCACTTGGCTAAAATAGCTTCATCTTAATAATTTTTCATCTTGTCAAACCAACTGCATTATATATTTGTTCTGGTTTTGAAAATACAAAACAGTGAATTTTGAAAAAACAGTCATTGCTAAATAAAATTTCCAGAGTTATTCTGCAATATTCCTCCCCTCCAGCTATAATCCCATGTGCATTTTAAGAATTCCTTGATATGGTCTCCCAGTTTGAGTACAGTAAAAGCTTTGTGTCTTGGGGGTATGTGGGGTGGGTGGTAAGGAACGAGTGGTAAGATTAAGGAAATGCGTTTGATTTCTGCACTGCTGATTTGAAACATGCCTATATACTTCATGTGTTTGATCCTTTAAAAGAATCTTCTTGATGGAAACACGTGAGTGAACTCTGTTATCTTTGAAGATTGAATGGGAGGCTTGTCATATCATTGCAATAATTCCTTTACTGTGTGCATTTGCACACTAAGCTTCAGCTGTGAGTTGCTGGTCTGTAGCAGATAAACCTCATAGCCCTTTGGCGTGCTCTGTGCATTCAGGCACTTTGGCAGTGGGATGTCAGTGAACATTTTGTTCTTGTGCAGCATGTAGCCATCATGTTGTATATAGTGTGGACAGTGGAGGTATTAAAAAACAAACAGCAAAGCTGTCAGCAAATAGCAGTTAGAGAGTGTTTGCAGTTGTCTTTCAGATGTGACCGTAAGTGTTGCTTCTCAGCTCCGTTTGTAGCTAGTGTCCTATCGCTCTGAAACAGAGAAGCAGCATGAGTACAGCCAGGCACTAGTCTTGTCTTAAAAACTAACATCAGATTTCAGTGGTTACAGATCACACAAACCTTTTAAACCTTAAAATATTTTAAGCTGTGTAGTCAGCAAGATCGACAAGAGAACAGTCATTCTGTACTGTGATAGTATTTAGATTGGGGAATTAAGTAGTTTAAACTTCCCCTTTTCTGTGCAGCAAAATAATGTTGAAAGACTACTGAACTGTTTGTTAACACATAGTCAAAAACTGGTGGTTAGACTGAGTATGATGAAAAAAACTGTTAAAAATGAATCCTGCATTCCTTTGTAGCTGGCAAGTGTAGAGTGGGAGAAATAATTTTAAAACTGTATCACTTGTTAAGGATTGTATGGTGTCCTATCAAATTGTTGTCTTGGCTGAGTGGGTATGAAAAGGAAGGAAGCATCTGCTTTAAATGTGGTGGCTAATTGGTAGTCTTTTTTACTCAGTGGTCTTAATTGCAGGGGGGTTTGGGCTAGATGACCTTTAAAGGTCACTTCCAACCCAAACTATTCTATGATTCTATGATATCTTCTTTAGCTGGTTTATATTCTACTTTTGATTAAAAAAATTAATACATTCTCAATGTTTGTTATATATCTACTGATATTGTTTTGCTGTCGATGGGGGTTTTTTAAAAAGCATCTATAGGGTTGCAGAGATAGGCATAGCATGGGTCTCCCAGCTGTGCTTTCTTTTGAAAGTTGCATTTCACTGTGTGTGCTTTTTTAAAAACATGATCATGTAATCATTGTGGTGCTAATATTCACTGAATATTAGAGAATATAGCTGAGTTGAGTAGTACTGATTTTTCCATGTCTAGGCTTTAGAATGCTATTAACAGTTACTATTTCATGTATTTATGAGTTTGCATGTGGAGGGGAAAAAAAAGATGAGCACATGGAAGATCATAGGTGTTGAGCTGCCTTGGCAGGAGAAACAAAAAGTCCTCCAAGCTGTTTCACAGTAAGTGCGTGCTTGTTAACAGGTCCTTATTAAAAGCCATGGAAGTAATACCCTAAAGCTTCCTGAGCTACCAGAGAGGAGCCTGTCAGAGCACCGTTGTATGTGCTCTGCCATCCAGCGGTGTAAAAGGAAAGTGAACAGAAGCCACACTGATGCTAATTACCTATCCTGATATTCAAACTTAGAAGAGATGCTGGGTAAAGGAAAAGTTACACTGCACGTGTTGAGGTGTTGGGAAGAAAGTATGAAGTGTAAGACTTCTCAGGAAATTATGAAAGGCAATCAGGTGGTTTTTCCTGAGTTTCTTCTCAGATCTCCCAGATACTGTTGCTAGCAGAGAATGAGTGTTACCATGGTGCATATGATTGCTGTAGAAGAAAATCTTTTGTTCTTCATTAATGGTGAGGAGAGATTTAATTTAAATGAATGTTTGGGGGAGAAATAACTTAATTTTAGACCCTAAATATTTCACAGATCTCCAGAGTGAGAGTTTGTCCAAATATTTCTCTTTAAATAGGTTTGTTTAGGTACTGCTATATTTTTGTCTTCTCCCTGTGATATTTTTTTTGTTGGCGGGAAGGGATGGTAAACAGATAATATGGTTGTGCTGTGGGGAGTTGAAAACAGAAGGGAGAGATTGTGTTTAATTATACTTTTAACATTCTGTTTCTAATTTTGTTTCCTCTAGCTTTTTAGATGTTTTAATTAAAGTCAGGAACAGACACAATGATGTGGTTCCAACCATGGCGCAAGGGGTGATTGAATACAAGGAAAAATATGGCTTTGATCCATTTGTTAGCAGTAACATCCAGTATTTTCTAGATAGATTCTACACCAACCGCATCTCTTTCCGTATGCTTATTAACCAACACAGTAAGTAATCGCTTTTTACATCTTTGAGAACTCGTTATTGCTTGTAAACCTGAAGCCATAGCTTTGTTTTGGTTTTGGTTGTTGTTTTTTTTTTTTTCATACTAATGACTAATTCTTAATATTCTCTGCTAATTATGGTGAAAGATATACTGGCAACTGGTTAATGCGAGACTTCGCAGTTACCAGAAATTAATCCAAAACACCAGTATGCTTTCTTTTAGGATTGTCAGGCTTTGTCAGCATGGCTGTCACTTTTTAATCTTGGCGCAGACAGCTTGCATAATGATACGTGAAGTATTTTTAAATAGTAGTAGTGTAGCTGTATCTTTCTGTTCACAAATCTCTCAACATAGTTTGTAGAGCTGACATTTATTTCATAATGAAATGTAAGGATGCCATAAATTTTGAATAAGTTATGCACTATATGTATTTTTATTGTTTTTTTTTTTTTTTTTTGGCAAGTTATCTAGCCTTTCTTGCCTTCTAAAGAGGTTGAGTATTTCTAGCTTAAGTTTTAAATTATATGCCTTGTTTTTCTCTACTTCCTATTGCATATTTATGAATAAATGCTAGAATTAGTCATTCTCTGTCATTAGGTTCTGTTTCATTTGTTGCTATTAATAAATTTACTTTATTATAGTCATTACAAAGTGAAAGGAGTTACTTGCACAGCTCCTATTAACCAATATGAACAGCCATGCAGAAAGCGATCTGTATAGAGGACTGTTTTGTGATCTCTTTTAGTGTATCTTTTGTCTTTTAGCTCTAGCGTTTCATTCTTTGCCCGGTATTCTGCTTTTTTGCACTATTAGAAACTGTAGTACACCACAGATAATGCAGATGTCAGAGTACTCTTGTATAAGGTATTTTACTACAAGTTGTGTGTCTTCTTAGTAACCTTTTATGTGACTAACAAATGCCTTGTTCTGTGTGTACAAGTAACTTTAATGTGGCAAAGCATACAAAATGAGATAAATGTGCATCTTATTCTTTACTTGTACCTGGGCAGACAAATGACAGACATGAAACCAAGTTAAGTTAAAAAGCTTTCATAGAAGGGTTCTAGCAATAAGTGAAGACATTGTCCTAATAGAATTCTTGGGCCAAGTGCTACCATAATTTGCACTAGCTCTAAAATATTAAACTTACTTAATTGAACTGAAATGGCTTTTCCTATGGACACCCTTTTATTTAACTGGTTGGAACTTAAAACTGCTTATAGATGCTTAAAGTTTAGCTAACCTTACACAATTTCCCTATGCTAAGCAATGTTAGTGATCCATCTGTGATGGCAAATATTAATCTTGAAGCACTGATGAAGAAGACAGTTGGAAAGCAGAATGCAGAAGCAGTTTTTTATGTAGGATGTATTTGTTTCATACATTACTGACAGACAGTTTCTCACAGTGCAGTTCTGCAAGGTGCAGTGTAGCAGTGTATTAGATCACCACAACTGGAATGGGAAAAGTTTTCAGGTCTTGTCTTTTGCTCACCTCTGTTTCCTATCAGAGCTGACTAACTTGATAAAATAGCAGAAAATCACTTATGCAAAAAAGTCTATAAAACCTTTCTACTTCTTTGAGAGCTAAACTCTCAGTGAAGGATCTGGTGAGTGCCAGACCCTTGTGCAGAGGGGGGAGTGGGGAGCATACTGCTGAGAGTCAGGGAGAAAGTTGCGTGAGACAGAGTTTTGTGCCAACCATCAAATTGCAGCGTATGTGAGTGTAAAAGGCTTTCAATGCTGTCTTACAGTTCCTCAGCCCTTTTTACTACAACATTTTAATTGTTGTGAGTGCTTCTGTTCTGACAGAATGAAGCATTTTACATTTTAGTTTTACCTAATTTTTGATAGCCCACTTTGAAATATAGGTCTTCACCTTAACTGTCCTATACTGCTGTTTAACTAGTCTTAGCTATAAAAAAATAAAAAGGGAAAAAAAAAGGGGGGGACACACACGAAAGCAAGTAGTTTTCCTAAACAAGGATTCTGGGAATTTGCTAGTGTATCTTTTTAAAAAATTATGCACTATCCAGTAAGTTTCAGATAACATCAGATTTAGACTTTCTGGGCTGCCTCAAGAGTAATAGACCATTTACTGCCATTTCTTTTTTCTTTTAGCACTTCTTTTTGGTGGTGATATTAATCCTGCTCATCCCAAACATATTGGAAGCATTGATCCTAATTGTAATGTGGCAGAGGTGGTTAAAGGTAAGATGAAGTTAAAGGTAAGATGAAGTTAATATTTTTGTAAATTAAAAAAAAAACCAAAACCCACAACTTAGAATATACATAAATATGTTATTGAGATACAAGAGACTAAAGGTGATTTAAATTCATTTAATAAAATAAAAAAAAAAAAGATAAATGGAAGTTCTGCGGTTGCTCACAATAAAGCCATGAGCCTATTGAGACTTTGTAATGTCTCCATTATTGAGAATGGAGAAATGTTTGTTATGTTAACAGAACTAAGAAAACAGCTGAATTTTTAAATAACTTCAATCTGCCCATTTAAATATCAGATTAAGTATCTAAGTATTTTGTCAGACTTTAGATATTGTCTTCCCTAAAATACTTAGAAGCAGGTTCTCATGTACTGCTTTTTTAATCTAATGCTGGTACTAAAGAAAATTGAGAGTAAGTGAAATTTTCCAATTTGTTTAGTTAGGCCTTTCAGTAAAATGTCCTCAGGTGTACAGATATTCCAGTGAAACACCCCATTACTATGTGCATCTGATCATATCACAGCCTGTTCTCTTATATAGAAGACACGTACGTGATGGCTTTATCTGAATGATCTGGCACAGTTGGGTTAGAAATCCTGTTTGCTTCATGTTGTGAATGTTCATATGCTTTCAGAATGTTAGTAAGTAGGCATGAGGCAGTGTTGTCTGCTTCAAGAACTTGCTTATTGAAGGTTCACACTCTGGGTGTATCTATTTACAAATACAGCTCTTGCTGTAAGAATGAATTCCACCCTCTATCCTTCACTGCTGTTTGTGCAGCTGCAGAAGGGGAAGAATGTGTTTCTCCCCTTCACTTTCAGCCTTTGGTGAAGTAAGAGGGAAACCGTTCTTGTATCAGATTTTGACCTGCATGACAGCTTGCTTTTTAGTGTAGATGCATTTTACTGTTACGAAGGCTTCTTGGCTTCTAGATCTTCTTGTCTCTAAGGCGGCCTTTTCTCAGCAGCTTGCTTTTTTTTTTTTTTTAGATTAATCTTACTCCACTTGGACCTCAGCACTGTATATGCTACAGTCATGTTGCTAATTTAGGTATTCCTTCTAATAGCAAATAGCAACATAGCAGCTATTATGATCATCAAATTCATAGTTTCTGCCTTGGACAGAGGAGATCATAGTGTCAGAAGGTTCTCAGTCCAGTTTTCAAGCGAGTAGCTAAAATAGGTCTTCCACATCTGAAGAAATAATCACTAACAAAATGGGGGCATTGTGAACAGAGTCCAGTGCTGTCTTTCAAAGAAACAAAATGTGCTTAAATACAGAGCCTGCCTAGAGTCAAGGTGAATGAAGCCATTTCCTTGTAGAGTTGGTGGAGGGGTTAATTTACATTCTGTGTACTCTGCTGGCTTCAAAATGTTCTAGTTCACAGGCAGCATTCTGAGCAATCTATCAGAGTTAAGATGCTGGTTTTGGCACTGTATGTGGCAACTACAAGCTCTATATGCCCTTCAACCATTGAAGAAATGATTTAAACAGCCACTTCTTACTTCAAGCAGCTCCACCAAGTGTTGTGTCTGTAACTGCCTGAGGTGTGGGTCTCTATCTCACTGACTGTCCTACAGTAAGATTTTTCTGAGCTGACAGCAAAAGCAGGCTTGTTCATGGTGCCCGGATTTTAGATGTACTGATAGATCCTTTACTCTTGTTGCTACCTACCTCCAGCCATTACAGGAAGTGTACTTTGAACTTTGCAGCCTCCTTTACAGTTTTAGGACTCTGCCAAGGGGTTGGCTTTTAGAGGAAGGTAAAATGTAAGACTGTACTCACTGTTTCACGCAGTTTTTCTAGGAGCTGGATATTTTACTGGGTCATGAAGTGATGGTCCCTTCCTGTTCATCTCAAGGGTGTTTGTGTCTGCTACTTTGAAAATGGATGAGAGTTTTACATTAAATTTAGGGAGGTTAAATAGATTTATTCAGAGCCTCTGTTCTCTCAAGGTTTGCATAATGGCCGTGTCTGCTCCACCTCTGTGTATTCAGGGCTTTTGGTTTATTCCCACACAGTTACTGATTTGTTTTTTAGAGGCCTTGAAGATTTTCTCTGCGATGAGAATCCAACTCCTGCCCCCTGGATCCATATCTAATTTTCATCTCTATGATGTGGACACTCCTTGAAATGTGCTAATGTATTCCTTTCTCCATGTAGATGGCCTTATGGTCATAGTAGCTACATTGTTATCTTCAACTTTTGATGACTGAGCCAAGATTGTGGGTGTGTTCTTACGCCCCTTTTTTCCAAAGCACAGGATTACTCCCAAGGCCATCAGAAGTTCTGAGATGACCTTAGAATATCATCTAAGTGTAGGTATTCCTACATCTTTTTTTCTTAAATTATGCATATCTCAGGCTGAGGTTCTGTCTGTACAGCTTGGATATTAAATGGGATTTTGATCTTTTCACTAGGACATGTTTTATTGTGTTAATGACAGGAAACTTTTAGAAAGTCTTTGGAGCTGATCATCTTGACACAAAAAATTCCTAATGGATAGCTGAGTTTGAGACATTCCTGGGACTTGATCAAGAATTTCAGTGTTCATTAGCTCCACTTTACTAGATCTCAAGCAGCATTTGTCAGCCTTGTGTGATATGTCCAATGTTGCAGATCTCAGAGCAACTGATGGAAATTTTTTTCAGATAACAGGACACATTATAGTTTATTTCTGTAGACATCTTGAAGGAGGACAATTATAGGTAACAGCCCTTTCTGGGGACTAGTGATTTTACTTTATTTGTGCTTGTCACATAGCCCTGAGTCTTGGCAGTGACTTTTCTTTTGTAGTGTCACTTTGGACAGGAGGAAGAAGGTACATGGAGGGTGAGGTCAAATGCAATTGTTATGGTATCATAGCAAATTTCTCTGTCTGCAGAACTGCACATTTATTTATGTGCTTGCTCCTAGCCCACACATTATGAGGAAGACACTTTCATTAAGGTAGCTTAAACAACATAGTTAGAACATCTTTGAGTTTGTGGTTTCTCTTTAAACTAACACTTGCTACTTGTTTCTAACATATTTTTGCAAATGAGGTACCAGTGAATACTTAGAACCACTAAGAAATCTTTCAAACAAAAGACGACTTAAACTTTCTTGCTGATTTGGATTATGAAAAGGCTTTTTTTTTTTTGGTTCAGTAGGAAAAAGTGATGAATCTTAAAGATTCCAGCTTTCCCCACAAAAGACCTTGAAAATCAAGTATTGTAAATAGTATTGTGTTTGGAAAAACTGAATTTATGGTTGCAATGTCATCCTTTTTTATTTGAGATGGAAAGAACAAGTGTTAAATTGTGATCAGTGCATGACAAATAAGTAGATATTATGGCCAGCCTAAGATTATACCCTTCTGGTTTTCAAGCCCTAAACAAAGACGAAAAATAGCTCATCTCTAGTAATCTGCTTTAGTTTGTAGGGCTTTAAATAGAATTTGCCCTTTCTTGACAAATGAGCTATAAGCATACTGAGAAAAAGGGATTAGCATGGATGCCAGATTCACATTTGTAAACTAGTTACTAAAAGGAGTGTTCTGCTTGTAGTGTTCACATACAGGATGAACTTTGCTAGTTGTCTCCAGATGATTTTCATAAACTGGTGTTCTGTTTTTTTGTTTTGTAGATGCTTATGAAACAGCTAAGATGTTATGTGAACAGTACTATCTGGTGGCACCTGATCTGGAAGTTGAAGAATTCAATGGTAATTGTGAAATTAATTTGTGATGTATGTAAGAAAGAGCACTTCTAATATCTGTGATTTCTAGTTTTGTTAATTATTTGTAAGTTAATTTGAACTCGACAGTCCTGTAAACTATAATTCAGGTGCCCAGAGACACTGGAATTATAGTTTATTGTCATGACACGTTTACTTGTTGATGCTCAATGCAGAGTGCCGTCTGCTGAATTCTCTATCACTTTAAGGAAAATAAAGTGGCCAAGAATCCATATAACTGGGAAAGAAACATGCCTGCCTTCTAAGTAATCTTTTAATAGAGCTGAAATTTGTTTCATTTTGTAGTATGCTTACAAATTCCACTGTCAGTCTGTACCAGTGATGGTGAGCTCTTCTATGTAAGATGGCAAAATCTGAAATTTTTTTACATAGTCTATGCTTTAAGTCCTATCATAAACTTCTCACATGAAAATGTGTTTCAAGTTGATTGCAAAGATGAAAATTGGATGCTATGAAACTGATGAGACAGTCCTTGTTAATGTATTGACTGATTTTTTGTTCGTAACTTTTATTGACAAAAGGTAGAATTTTTTTATTAAGGTAAAAAAAATAAATGGTCTTGAGTGATCCTCTCACAAATTTTGGACATCTTTTCAATGTAAGACTGTGATGTTTCCAAACTTCAGCGAAAGAATTGCAAAAGTCTCACAGAGGTAACACTCAAAACGTAGAGAGTTATATATGGGAATGTGAGTTGCTCAACGTGCTATTTAGTATCGTAGAAATACTACTGTACAAAAAATGATACTGTCAACACTGATGCATCACTATCACCCCCCTCTCCCAAAACCAAAGGATCCAACTTTACTCCCTCCAAAACCGAGCGATTCTAGAGCTAAAAGTACGGAGTGCTGCAGTAGAGGAATCAATGCAAAATTTATTTCAAGGCCTAAGTAAAAAAAATCCAACAGTAGAGAAGACAAATTACTGGATCTCAAAAAAAGAAGCAAAGAAAGAACTCCTTGTCTCCTTTAAACTGGCTTATCAACATGAGGAAAGTAACTTTGCAAATTGCCTCACAAGAGGAACAATAACGCGTTTTCTGTGTGTACTCTGTGCCACAAACAAGCACGAATCAGTCTGCCTTGGTTTTGGTGATGCATAAGAGAATTGGAGTATGAACTCTGACAAAATTAACATGATAAAAAAGCAAGTTGCCTTACAACTAATTATGCAGAGCATTGTTTTGGTGGTCTTCTCCTTTTCCTAGGAGTTCTCACTACCGTGTCTCTTAAAGTAATAACTGGTATTATCAGCCCTCAGTGCCAAAAATGAAATTGACTCCAGTTATGCTCTGTGTTCATGTTTCTATCTTCCTGCAATTTGAGGCAGACATTTAAAGATCTTTCTTCAATCTGAACTATTGCTGAGTCTGACAAGCTGTGACTGTATAATTTAATGCCAGTAGATAGTTGAATGTTCAGGGATGACTGCATCTTCAGCACCAAAACTGTGTTGGAATGTATGAAATGCAGCTGTATTATTTTCTGCTGAATCAATTAGCACTCTAGCATTCAGAGCTGTGCAAAGCCATATAGTTCTGCTGAAATGCTAACAGGACAATAGTGGACAAACAATTCAGATATGATTTGGAGTAAGAAAACTGTGATATCGTTTGAAATATATTTTGAAGATGTTTATGAATACTTCATATTTTATATGTTTTAATTAAGGGAAAATATGTAGTTATTTTTAGAATATTTAAACAGTGATTTATTTTTTTTTTTTATTTTAAGATATGTTGTGCAGCAAGTATTTTGCTTAAATATTGTATGTGTTAAGAAAAAGAAAATCTCCCACTTAGGTGGGAAAGTTCTTTTAGTTAACATACATTGAGTACGAAACCAACCACTGGTTAGTCAAGTTTTATATCTAAACAGTCCGCTGACGTAGATGTCTTTGAAAATCATTACTACAATGTGTTATTTCAGGTGATAGCAGCAACTGAAATTTATGGTTTTTACTTCATGGAGCTAATCTTGCACTTGGAAAACTAGAACATGCTTACATGCTTGTATTTGCCTACAGTTTCATGTTATTCCTGTAAATAGAAATGCTACAAAATGCTGTTTTGAAAAAAAATGTTCTTTTTTTTTTTTTTTTTAGCTAAAGCTCCAAACAAACCTATTCAAGTAGTCTATGTACCTTCTCATTTGTTTCATATGTTATTTGAATTATTCAAGGTAGGTTGCACATGTTAATATTTGGAAGGATTTTGTGAACTTATATTACTGTTGGAATTGAGTTTCTTTTCAGTTACAGCTCTTAAATGTTACTTCAGTTTTCCTTTCTTAAGCTAATTCTTAAATAAGTGAAGAGGGTTTGAAACTGTTAAAAGCTAGACTTGCAGCCCTCTCTTATGCCTTTGTGTACTTAAATTTCTCTGTTTTCCCACTTTTCCTTTTGTGCTTTTGCAGCCGATTAACTTAAAACAGTCATGATAGTTTATTTTACATTGATGATCTATTCATTACCTTGCAATTTTCATGAGCTTGCTTCTTTATTGCATATTTGAGGACTGGTTAGGATCAGCATCTTTTGTTTACTGTGAAAACAGCCGATATGTCTTTGAATAGGGTAAATTACATGCTTTGTTTTGGTTTTGTGTTTTCTGAATAATTGGAACAACAGTGAAAATTGAACACAGGAGAGCTATCGTATGCTTTCAAATAAGATAGGTGGTCTCTAGGTGGTGCAATTGAACACTAGAAATTCAGGGGAAAAATGTATTTGGTCAGAGCAACTTTTCCTAAATAATGGTATTTTGGGCTTGATTTCTGGCATTTGTCAAGTGTGTTCATTTGAGCCCTCCCCTATTTTGCCATTTGTAGCACTAGTTCTAGGGCAGAACAGGTGAGAATTTGTATACTACTTGGAGGTATGTTTTGGTACAAGTCATGAAACAGTATGAAACCATCAAGTTGTAGCTGTAAGTGGTAGTGGTAGTATGTGACAGACTGGCAGTGGAAACTCTGTTAGTAGATACGATAAAGTCAGATTGGTAGGTGGTAACTTAACAATTATGTGACCCAGGCTGAGAAAATCAAAGCTTGTTCTCTGTGGTGAACATCACTATTGGTGTTCTGCATGGTGGAGGTGAAGGGTGTTGTCATCCCTTACATAATTACAGAATTTCATACTGAAAAAAAATATTCTTGTTTTACTTTCTCTGACTCTTATGTTAAATAGATAAAAGTATATATAATGGACTTCTAGAATTTGTTTAAATATAGCCTTTTCTGTCTTGGGTACAAATGTAGGACAAAGTATCTAGATACAACAAAATAAAGGCAAGTTCTAACTTGTCACAAAAAGCATATATGGTGAAGTTAGAATCAAAGACCCTGGTATTTCTTTTATCTTCAGAATTCAATGAGAGCTACAGTGGAATTGCATGAAGGTAAGAGAGAAGCCTATCCATCGATCAAAACCTTAGTCACTTTGGGGAAAGAAGATCTATCTATTAAGGTAAATGCCTAAAAGTAGTATGCAGCTTAGAAACCTGCTAGATTTAGAATAGTATGGCTTTTAATTTGGAAAGACAAATTAATTACTGTATCACTTATGACATTTGCTTCATATTCATTAGAGTAAAATATTTTCAGTTGGAAGCAACCTACAACGGTCATCTAGTCTATCTCCTTGACTGCTTCAGGGCTGACCAAAAGTTAAAGCATGTTGTTAAGGGCACTGTCCAAATGCCTCTTAAACACTGACAGGCTTGGGGCATCAACCACCTCTCTAGGAAGCCTGTGCCAGTGTTAAAAGCTCCTGTCTGTAAAGAAACATTTCCTCATGTCCAGTCTGAACCTCCCCTGACTGATGCAGCTTTGAACCCACACGTTCCTGTCACTGGATCCCAGGGAGAGGAACTCAGCACCTCCCCTTCCACATCCCCTCCTCAGGGAGCTATAGGGAGCAGTGAGGTCACCCTGCAGTTTCCTTTTCTCCAAACTAGACAAACTCAAAGTGCTTAGTAGCTCTTTTAACACTTTCAAAGTCACTTAGATAATGCTGCTTGAGTTTTGCAGGGTTTTTTTAGAACATAATGTTGAAAACTCTTAACTTTTCATTTCTTAGATAAGTGATCAAGGTGGAGGTGTACCTTTAAGAAAAATAGACAGATTGTTTAACTACATGTACTCAACAGCACCCAGGCCCAGTTTGGAACCCTCAAGAGCTGTGCCTTTGGTAAGCAATTGCAATATTTATTTAAATGTCCCTTTGCATTATTCTGGTTGTACGTTTCCATTCCCTGTAATCGACTGGATCGGGTTTTCCATGGAAGAAACTCTCTGTGTGCAATTCTATGCAGGTAAAACGTATCAGAAGAAAATGAGTTGGAAACAAACATAAGCACAATATTTTCACAGGTTAATGGACAGGATTTTTAGTGCCGTATTAGTGAAAAGGTGGATATCCTAAAGAGCTCCTCTTTGGTGTGTAAATTACTGCTTATCTAAGTTTCTTATAATAAATGTTTTGGAAAGGTGAGCCGCACTGTCAGAATTATAGCACTTGAGAAACCCCTCCTGATAATGCACAAGCTTATATTGAACTCTGAAAATTATTTTTATCTAAGTTATGGACTGTAAAAACACATTTAAGAACAAAATAAATTTGTGAGCCTGCATGTGATACAAACACTTGGTATGTTCCTGTTCAGTTGGAAATATCTCATGTGGTATTCCCTTCTGAGATGTATCAGGGTCAGTTTTCAAACAAAGAGAATTTCCCTATAGTTTCTTCTAAGCAGGGCATTATTTCAATGTTGAATGCGTAGATTCTTTTAGGAAGCATGATTTTTAAAATTATTATTAAAATTACTCCTAAATTATTTTATTGAATCAGCTCATTGTGATAAAAATTACATAGCTACTGTTCCATTTGACTGGATTTCAGTAAGTCGATTGATATTGATACTGTATTCTTGCCCCTTCTTATCATTTGTTCTCTATTGCTTCTGATGCAATCCTTTATCTTCAAGCATGCTGAGAAAGTTGGTTCTTTGAAAAATTTCCTTTCCCTATTCAGGAACACGCTCATCTAGCATGTTCTTAAGTGATTTGTTTTGTTTTCCTGCTGATACTTCCTGTGTTTGAATTACCTGAAGTTAGCTAATAAAATGTGGCAGGCGCAGAGAGTATGTGACTATTTCTGATATAAAAATAATTAACAGTGAACTGAGGGTGAAACCAGTTCAGAGTGCTTCAGAGAGAATAAATTTCCTTTTAGACTTTCAGCAGAAAGTCTTTATGGTATTGCCTTAGTCTACAGTTCATTGCTTAGGTGCCACAATGTTTATTGCATTGCTTTCACCAGTGTTTGATGCCACAGTGACAGTTGTGAAACCCATTTCTGTATCTGCATTGACTTGATGTTAATCTTTGAGTTCCTACCTCTACAGCACATCTTAATAATATGTTTCAAACTTTTGCTTTTTCTCAGAAAATCATCTTGAATGGGATGAGTGATAGGGAACAGGCCTTAATTCAAACAAACTTTTTTCTTTGTCAAGAATGGTAGAATCTTTCTTGATTCGTAATCTGCCTTTGTTCTGTCTCACTTTTGATCAGCAATTTACTGTATCAGCCTACAAGGATTTCCTGAAACTTGTTCTCACTATAAACTTATGCCTTGATTACCGGTTGTATTCACTATTAAAATGTCTCTTCCTTTGTGGCTCTCTGATTGTAAAATGTGTTCGTTTTAGGATTCACACTATTCTTTCTTTCCTATGCATCTTTAGAAATGCATTCCTGTGTTTATTCATCTTCAAGACTGCTTGCTTTGATTCTGTGGCATTTATACTTAGTATTCTTCTACTCTACCCCATTTTCAGACCTTGTTTTCTGCTTCAGTCTGTATGTCACTGTAGTCAGACCTGCAGAGTATGCCCCTCTCTTGTGACCCTGGCAGCTTTAGCCATGTGAGTTTGACTGATGCCTGTCCATGACTGGATGTCAAGAACAGTTATTACACTGTTATCTCTATATGTGTGCAGAAGGAAAAAAGTCAAGAACTGTGAGTCTGTGGCATATCTTTCCACTAAGAGGAAAAAGGACTTAGCAGTGAAGCTTGACACGTTGTGTATTATGTCCTAGATCTATTACTTTGTATATGTCAGTCTAGAAATGAGAATCCTTCAGCAGAAAGGTTCTGCACAAATCCTCTTCAAAACCTATGTAGAGGGATTCTTTATTGCTTGGTGCCAAAGACCAATCCACTTAAGAATTATGGTGCTCTGGAAGGTAGATAGGTCTGTGCTTGTGTCATTCTTGACTTAGGTAATATTGTAAACTAAATTACAGTGCAGTGTAAATAGACATTTTTCTGTTCTAACACTCTCTCCCCTTGTTATATGATCCCCTGTCTAGTTTATGAAACATTCATGGTCTTAGGAAGTGGAAGAGAGGGATCTTTTTGATAGGTGAAAATTCTTTCTCAGTGTCATTGCAAATGTTGTTCAAAAATTGCTGAGAAACCTTGTTACCATGGCAGCATTTGAATTCTAGCAGGGCTTGTGTTCATCTATACTGCTGTACACATAGTGGAAACGTTAGAAACATTTGGTAATGTTTAATGATAATTAGATTTTCTTACGGAATTTAATGATTATTTCTCTGGCAGCATTTGTTTATAGTGGAAGAAACATGGCTTAAATTAGGTTTAATTAAACCTGTAGACACTAGTAACACAAATTTAATAATTTCCTATTTGTATAATGCATACTGTAATATTTAATGAGAAGTTGGCTCTAAAAAGCTTTGCCTTCTTAAGGCAGATGTGCCATCATTGCCTATTCTGTCCTCCAGGTGAAGCACAAACCTATGTAGTAATACCATCTTGTTAATTGTCTTTTGCAAAACAGACCTTTTGCAAGGTCTTGCCTTAACAAGGTGGTCATCTAAGATCTGTTGTCTTCATATTTCTTGTGAGTTATCTGTTGTGGAAAATACCCTGAAGACCATGTAGAGAAAAGATTGACGAGAAACTTTTTGTAGAGGGCAGCATGAAATAATTATGTGGGCTAAGACAGAGCATAAAAATATTTTCCTGGGAGGAGCAGGAGGCAACCAGAAGTTGGACATGGGTTTTTAAGGAGGTGCAAATCTGGAAAGAGGAAAGTATTATGTGTTTTCAGGGCTGTTTGATACTGCCTTTTACTTGAGCTGTTCCTGAGGGTATGTACCATCTACAATTTGCCTTTCAGTTGCTGTGCTTTTTAATTTCTATAATGTATCTATTGTTTGGTCTCCAGAAAAGATGCAAGTCGGCTTTTGCAATTTTAAAAAATTCTTCCAGAGTCAAACAACTTCAATTTTTTTAGTGGTTAAAGAAATACATCTAGTTTCAAGACGATGTGTTTGAAAGTGATGCATGTGTCTCTAAGGTGTCTTTGAGAATTACATTTTTAAAGCGTACTGTTCTTTGAAAAAGTGGAGCTAAGCAGCTGTTCTAACTGTGGAAATAAACACTAATAACTGTGACAAGCAGAGTGAATAGAAAGGGCATCTTTGGCATGTGTTTTTCATTTTGCTCAGAACTGAGTGAGCAACTGTAACCAATTTAAGATCACTAATTTTAGACTTCTGTAAAAACAAGGCAAAGAGGTCAAAAGATACTGTAGAGATAGTAGATGACTGCAAGAGAATTTGCGATGGATACTGTCGTACCGAGTTCTTTAATGTTCACCCCTCCCTCAAGGGATTTCCTATAAAGTGATACCACATATTAGCTGTGTATAATGCTCACAAGTCCTCCTTCTTAGCCTTCTCTTTTTTTGTATCATTTTGGGGCTTTGTTTTCAAGATTTGGAGCACGATTTTTGGTTCTGTCAGGTTGCCTTTGTAGAAATATTACAGTGGAATGAGTTTATTGGTCTTCCGAAAACTTTGTGTCTAATTCTTCTTGTAATCCACCCTTATGGAAAAGTTGTATCACTTCATTGCCTATTATCCTTCTTTTCAAATGCTTGTGGGTCTGGAATCCTTCCTTTATTGCTCTGGATAGTCTTGAAAAGTTAAGAGGGGTGGGGGGCAGTGGGGTGACATGTGAGTGTGGCAGGTGAATAATCAACCACCATGATTCTCAGCACATACCCAGTCATCTGAAAGAGTTGATACATAGATCAAAATCTTACTCCCTGGCTGCAATGAGAGGGGCTTGGGTTTTTACAGCTTTTTCTGACAAGAGTGGTCTGGAAAAGGTGCCAAGTGTTGACCTTGTTGCAGCTATGGTTATGAATATTAGTGTTGTAAACTTAAAATCTAAAATTTGCACCTGTCATGTCTATTATGCTTTGAAAATTGTGTGGTCTGTAGAGGGTCTCAGTCCTCAGTAGATCATTCAGTGCTGTGGAATCCTGAACTTTTGTTAGGTGGGTAAACAGTAGTGAGGATTATTTGCCCTGTATTGTTCTGTCTGTAGTCTCCTGGTCTCTATCGCAGCACGCCGTCAGTAACCACTTAGTGGTGTGACCTAGATGAAGTAAAGAGAGTTGCCTCTGGCTTTCTTGTGTAGTCTCCTAAGTGTGATGACGTTTGAGAATAATAATCCCAGGCTTGGGGGAGAAGAAGCATGCTGTCAAAAATCTGATTTTTACCAAAGAAATAATGGAATATGGTAGCAATGATAATTGTAGTGAGGAAGCAGTAGAGAGGATCAGTTTGCTTCGATGATCGGAGGCAGCATGTTATACCTATGTGCCTCTGAGAAAATGCCAAATGAACAAGGTGGTCCTAACAAAAGACTCTATTTTTCCCTTGTCTGTACTTAAACTAAAAAATTGTACCTCGGAAAAAAGGAGAGTGCTCAAAAGGCTGAATACCAATTTGTAGTGTAGGCTGAATAATAAAGGAAAGCTTGAAAAATAATTTGATGCAAATCTAATATTTGGCTATCTTCTGTTTTATAAATGATTGCAGTGATCTGTTGTATTTTTAACTTTGTCATGTTTTTCCTCTTGTTTTCGTGTTTCTGTAGGCTGGGTTTGGCTATGGCTTGCCAATTTCTCGTCTGTATGCTAGATACTTTCAAGGTGACCTTAAACTCTACTCAATGGAAGGCGTTGGTTCAGATGCTGTAATTTATTTGAAGGTATGAATTTGACCTTTTCATAAACTAGTAATGCAGTGCAACTTGTTTATAGCAGGCTGAATGAATGGACTTTCTCTCTTCAACTTGTTCTCAAATTCGTAATTGCTATCTTTGTTATATTTTATCAAAATCAGTTACACAGAATCTTAAAAACCAAGGTTATAAATATTAACTCAGCACAAGTACTAGTTAGTTTGCGAACTAGCTAATACTTTTTTTTTTTCTATTCAGTTCTTGACCTTTATGCAATAGACTGTATTGATCCTGTTGTCATGTTTTTGGGGAGATCCCAGGCTACTCAGGGGCTTAAGGTTAAAAGTGCTTGAATTTCATCAGGGAATTGAAAAGAATATAGCGTGTAGCTCATGTGCAGGTCCCTGACGTACAGTGAGTCACAGTGACAACGCTATGTAGCGAGCGGGTTGTGGAATCCTGTGCTAACTTCAGTTTCTGATGGGTTTAATCCTGTTCATGTAGGTGGGGCGGAAAAAGGTACGGGCTTTCTCAGAGGAAACAGGCTTGCTAGTGGACTGAACTAGGTCAGTTCTCACGGATCAGTGTGCTGGCAGAGTCAAAGATCACTGAAGTGAAATGTTTAAGTAAAGTATCTGTCTGCCCCGCATCAATGACAGATCTCCCCGAAATGTTTTTGACCAAACCTTTTTTTTTTTCTTGCTATATTTGTAGACGCCACTCCCTGGAAAGAAGAGAAGTATTTTAGTGTCACTATCTTCTTTTAACTTTTACTATGACCAGTACTTTGACTTTGACTAGAGTGATTGGTCACAGCTAAATTATTTTCAAAATAAAGTTGTGACATGTAACACTGGGACAGCTGAGACACTTGTTCGATACCGAAGTTGTAACTATGAAACTCCCCACCTTGCTCTTGGTGTCTCTAATGATATCTTACCATTGCTTTTGTTTCTCTGTAGGCCCTTTCAAGTGAATCATTTGAAAGACTTCCTGTTTTTAATAAGTCAGCATGGCGACACTACAAGACCACACCTGAAGCAGATGACTGGAGCAATCCTAGCAGTGAACCAAGGGATGCTTCTAAATATAAAGCTAATCGATAATTTGCTACCTTTTGTCTCGGTTGGAGATGACCTCTGCATTCAGTATAAAGTCTCTGCTTTGTTCAAAAATCCTTCAAACCACAATAGCTAATTATTTCCAAACAAAGACCTAATCAGGGCATTGAAAAATACTAAGAACAAAGTGATGATTGGGACTTAAAGGAAGGCACTGAGCGCGTTTGGTATGTGAAACCTGTCAGCTTCAGCAGAATATGCTTGGTTGCTTCAGTCATGCATTGACAAAAGGGGTTGCACTGTGATTGCACTTAAGAATACAAAGTTGTAACAAAAAGATACTATTTGAAATGGCCAATTTGTATTGCAATATGAGGATTGGCAAAATGTGCAGAATCCCTTTAAGTGGTGAATAGTATCTTGCACAGCAATGTGGTATAAAAGAAAAAATCCTCGTGTTGTTAAACATTCGCTTTGAAAATCCACTCTTTGCTGCATTTTATATTGCACAGTGTCACCTGTTACAGAAAATCCCTTTGAGCTCTTAAGATCTTATGTCTAATGAGCTTATAAATACATAGTTCTACAAAGGGTTGTGCAGCTTTAAACTAATGCTTTCCCCAAATTCCCAAATCCATTTGTGAAGTGCATACAAAAATTATGTTGTTACAAGACGTTGGGAATTCCACTTCTTGGTATGCACCTTAATGATTTTCTTGACACACAAACACAGAACTGCATTTCTATTAAGTTTCTTCTTGTTTTGAGGAAAGATCGTAAGTAGTTAGATCATCTATCCATACGAGAAATTCTGTCAGTACAGGGACAGGGGGTAACTAAATTTCATGTTCATTGCCTATCATTTCTGGGGGGTTGGGATGGGGAAGGAAATGCTGAAAGGCCGGACAGCCAGTCATACAAATGAGTTTGCCTTAAGAGTGTTGGTTGCTTGGAACCTGATTAGTTTAAAACCTGTAAATAGTTTGCAAAGTTATTTATATATTCAATGTCTGACTATAGTCTGGTAATCTGAATTTGTAGTGTATATAAAGATGTTGTACACCAGCTTTTGGAAAGTGTCATTGGTCTAAACACATGAAACTGGAAATAGCGTAGAAACGGGAGGGACATAACATAGCTGGTACCTGATTTAAGGGAGGGAGGGAAAAAATTGAAGAGAAAAACCCCAAGTGCTTTCCCCTTAAATTTACTGTAAGGGTTATTGCTGATTATTAGGAATCTGTTCTTCACCAGATCCTTGCCAAATACTATGGCCTTACAGAAAAATTTGTGAAATTTAGAAGTTCTGGTGATATCCTAGCCATGGGAATAAAGTAGGTGAGTTTTAAGCAACTCTTATGCACCCTCAGTTTCTCTTAGGTGTTTTGATATGTTTTTGAAAGATACTGCAGATTTTAGCATGGAAGAACGAAACTTGGTTACTGTAATTGTGGGGGAGCTGTCCCTGTTGTCCTCCCAATATTTATTTTTATAAAGAACTGATCTATTAGGTAAACAGGGAAATGCTGAGGAATTCCTAGGTATTTTTTTTTTTTAAAAAAAAGTATCACATAATGATAGTACTTTGCACTTACATAGCACGTTTCATCAAAGGATTACAAAGTGCTTTGAGCAATAAACTTCCTACAGCCCCGTGTCGGGAGGGTGGGAGCCCTTGCCTTGCAAACCCTTGCTCTTACTTGTTGCAGTCAGTTCAAGAATTTGCACGTGTCTCGTTCGTGACCTTGCAGGGCGCGAGGTTCTGTGGCTCGGCCGCGCTGTGCGGGCAGGTCGCTGTGCGGCGGAGCGCCAGGCGGTGCCGCTCGCAGGCGGAGGCAGCGGGACGGCTGCTGAGGTTCCCCCAGCCCCCCCGGCTGGTAAGCGGGGCCCCCCCGAGCCCCCCCGGCAGCAGGTGGGAAGAGGGAGCGCGCTGACGGGGCCGTCCTCATCTGTTCCCCAAGCGGAGTCGTTTGCCCCCGGCTGAGGGACCTTCACGCGGCGCGGGGGTGACCTCCCGGGCAGTAATTTCCCACGACTGCGAATCTCTGCTGCAGAGAAGGCAGATTGCTGTTCAAGCGATACGGCTGCGCTGCCGGGGTGAAAGCGCAGTAAGTGTTTGACCGAAACAGCAGTTGGAACTCGCAGCTACTAAAATTTAGTCACTTCTGCCCCCGCCCGTAACTTCTTACTGTTTTTTGAATTCAAGTTGTGTGTGTTTTCTAGGAACCGCGGAGGGAAGGCTTGCTTAAAAATAGAAATTTGTGATGAAACTGCTGTTTTCCCAGTCGCGCGTGGTCAGTTTTTCCTAGAACATTACCTAAAACATTCCAAGGAATAAGATAGTCTGTGTAAGAAGCTGAGTTTCAGCTTTTGTTATCAATCATATTTTGTAGTAGTAAATCTTGACCTGGTGTTTCTTTTTGGCTGTCTCCTTATACATGAAGAGGAGGGGGAAAAGAACGAAAAGAAAGGATGCAAGCATACTGAACTTGTTCTCGTGAAGTGAATACAAGCCTTGAAAGCGGAAGATACTGTGGATATTGTTATGGTATATTAGTCATTTAATTTCTTTATTCTCAAAAGCAACTGGCTGGCTTTCAGGACTGAAGTGCTCTAGTACTTGAAAACTCATGTCCCTGAATGGCAACTATTTTCAAGAACCCTGAGCATGTACGAACAGCTCAAAGCAGGAAGGTAGAGCACAAGGAATGCATTTTTTTCCATTTCCCAAGGCCTGTTCGTGGCCATTATGGTGCACAGGAGCAAGAAGGAACTCTTCTCCTCTGCAGCCTTGTCTAGGCAGCCTGTGCTTTAGTGGAGACCCCAGGTATGCCACAAACTTCTACACCCACTGTCCTCATGCCATGTTTCTACATAGGGGTGTTAGTCTGAAACCTGCCTTAGGAAATGGTGGCAGCTGACCTTTGGTTGAAAAAAACCTCTGTTTCAATGGGTATATCTGAAAAATGAGGGTGGATGGGTTTTTAATATGACTAGTTTAACTACAGATACTCATCTTTTTTTCAGTTATTTCTACCTTTGATTGGAGTCTGTTAACTATTTGATTTATTATCTTGGGGCTGTTAGTTCCAAACTTTCTGATGATATGAAAGTATATTTATTTTTTCTGGATTTCAGATGTGTGGCCTGCTAATGTTATTGCAACCTCCTTGTCTTGAATTACAGGACACATAAATAGAAAAAAATGTTTTCAGTGAAAATGCTTTGTATCTGTTGTGTTTAGTGATTAACAGAAACAAACGGAGCAAGAGATGTTTGCTCCTAGATTCTTCCTGAGAATTTACAAACAGCTGCTATGTGTTGTAGTGTAACAAACAGTTTAACTTTTGTCTAGTGTGCATTTTTCTGGTGTATGTGTCTTGGAACGTAGTCTTATTAATCCCCTGCCTAGTTTATTATTCATAGATACTGAAGTCTCTCCAATAATATACGTATTTGTGCTCGATGCTTTTCTAGGCTTTGTTTTGAGGCTATCAAGGTGTCTTTCAGAGTCAGCACTTGATGAGAAATATTCAGAAGATACTGAAATGCTTCTTCTGCGATTCAAATGCACAGTCCTTGCCTCTGTACTTTACTGTGATGACCCGGGATAGTACTGAGAAGGTCTTTGTCCTGCTGCAGTTTCTGTTACCTCTTGGGCAGTGTTTATAGCAGGTCCCTTGATACATACTTCAAGAATATAGATATTGTAGTATTCTTGGAAAACTCAAGCTACTTTTTGACTATGTAAACTACCCTTGCTGCTCCAACTGGGTAACATACTTTTCTTTGTCCTCAGTGGCATGTATAATTTGCTTTGAAATGGCTGTTTACTTTCTCCAAAAAGAGAGCAAGAAGGATCTTTCAGGGTAGCACAGTCTCCTATTCACCTGCACCCAGACTTAGTATTTAGGGTGAAGTCTTAACCTCATTGACGTGGAAGACATTTCCCCTCCGCCCCTCACCTTAAATAAGCACTTCTAGATCTTTGTGTTAGATGCTGCAAAGTGGTCTTGGTTGGTATAAACAATTTTGTAGAAAACAGCCTAAATGTTAATATTTATCTCTTGAGGATAACCATGTCTGATTGCGCGGTGTTCGGTTTCCTTACATGTTTCCTCGGTTGCCATATAGATGCTGTAGTTTCTAATAGCTCTTAATCTCTTCTTGCTGACATCCTCACCTGCCTATGGGTTAATCTATATAAACGTGTTTTTGCAGAATTTAAGAGAATGTGATGGCGCATGACAGAATGATGTATTTCTGAGTTCAAAGGTGAGTTTATTCACAAATGAGGAACATAATTCTAAATTGTGTAGAGACTTCAGGGCTGAATCTTGCAAACGCTTGCACAAGTAAACAGTGTATGAGAGCAATCCCACTTAAATGAATCTGTTCTCAGGATCAGAATTTACGCTGTTGACATTAATTTGAAACAGAGAAGATTTGTGTAACTGAATGGCTTCCTAATTAAAAATAAATAAGAAAATGTAAAGCTCACGCACTTTAATTGCAGTATTATGTTGCCTTAAAAGATCTCAGAAATGGGTGTAGAGAACTTGTTTGTTTCTTAAATCTAGAGATTTTTTCGTAACGTAGTGTCGGTAGGATTGATGTGTCTGTGACAATTCCGACAAACTAGTGTTAATTTGCTTCATTAAAGCTTTTCCTTTGAATTGAATGCCGCCGAGAGGTGCTGGACTGACAGTCCTTCGCAGTTCATACCCCCCGTGGATCCCCCCCCCCCCAGGCCGCGGCAGGCCGTGTTTCCAGGGGTGCGCCCTCAGGGCCCTGGGCTCCGCAGCGGGGCCTGGCCTTGCCGAGGGACCTGCTGCCTGTCCCACACGCGCCGTCTCTGCTGAACTCTCACCGGTGCTAAGCTCCTGTTGGGTTTTCTGCTGTGGGGGGAGATCAAACCGGTTTGTTCCCAGCACGGGTTACGGGACAGGACTCTTACTGGGGAGCTGGCCTGTGTCGCAGCTGGCATCCAGGAGGGAAGGAGGCCTGGTGTTGCCTTTCCTCTGGGGCGGCATCATTTGGGGCAGCTGAACCTAGAACGGAGGGCTGGGAAGCTAATTTTTCATGAGATCACTTGGTGACGCTTTAAATTTGGAGACTTGTGTTGGAATTGATTCCAGTTCAATACCCGTGTTTATAATTTGTGTATATTCTCTTTCTCTTTTTTCTTTCTGTTGCTGACAAAAGTGTGTAAAAACTACACGGTAACATTTTTAAGGGATTGATTCAGTTTCACACACTACGGAGCTCAGTTTGTGATTTGGCAGCCCAGGGTCAACTTCACACATGCCTGCAAGAGGGACACCCTCAGAGAGCTGCAGTTGGGAGATCAGAGTAATTTTAGATAGAAGTATTTCAGCATTTCCATGTCTGGCTCCCGTAACCCCTCCCCTCACCCCTAAATTTATTTTTAAAATCTCAAGCATAATTTATTTTTTTGCTAACCTGGTTCTAGAACTATATATAAATGCAATCACTTCTGTATTGTGTTACCCTGAATTTTCAGGTACATTGATCTGGTTTGTATCAGTTTTCCAGGTAGATTCTAAGCCTTTAAAACTTTGATTGTCTTTCATAAATATGTTTATTCCTGTCAGATGTGTCTATGAAACGCTTATTTTTCACAAGAAACTCTAGTTTTCATTCTGAAGTTATCTTTCAGTGATTCTTGTGACAAAAAAACTTGATTTGTTTTTAAAAAGGTAAAATCATGTCCTAACATAGCTGAACTTCACAATTCTTGATTTTGCTGTTATGCCAAGGACCTGATGTCAAAATATTTACAGAGACGGCAGTTGTATGGAAAGTAAAATTGTGCTTCATTTGAGTGGAAAAATTGAAACAGGAATTTTTTTGCTGATTGCAAATCTGAAGATTTCTCTTTCTACAATATAATGGAGCTGCAAAAGCATTTGTGGGCGACCGGCTTCTTGAAAAACTAGTTACTACAGAAATTACTCTAGGTCCATCACTTCTGCATACGTGTTTTCTATGTTATTCCTTTCTCTATACAGATAAGCCCCCTGGTTTCTCTAGGTTTGTAGCTTGAGGCAGGGAGGGAAGTGAGGGAGTGCAGGTGGGAATGCACACCCTAAAGTATTTTGAGATGAAAGTTTTCTCTTGTAGTCTGAGAAAATTGGGTTAACATAGTGACTCTTGGTTTACTCCCTGTTCTCTATTCACTGCACCTTTCTCAGAACACTGAGGTAAGAAGAGTTCAGGCCTCTTATTCAGGCCAGGCTGGTCGGAGCTTTGAGCAACCTGGTCTGGTGGGAGGTGTCCCTGCCCATGGCAGGGGGGCTGGAACTAGATGAGCTTTAAGGTCCCTTCCAACCCAAACCATTCTGTGATTCGATGATCTAGAAACTGCTCTTTCTGAATAACTGCCTAAAATAGAAAGTCTCTGTCAAGAACCTCAAATTCTCCTCACTTTCATAGAGGAATCCAGAAATGGCTATAGTTTAAGAACATTAAGTTGAAACCATTATAAATAAAACTTGGTGACTGAGAACTCTGCCATTTGAAAATATGAAATAATATTTTTAAAAATGAGCTTTGTTTTGTGTTCTCCCAGTTCGTTTTTTTTTTTTTTTTGAGGGAGTACACAGCAGAAAAGGTGTTAACACTGGCAAAACATTAAGAGCTGAATTACAGAGTTTTGGTGCCATCCGTACGCAGTATGTGTTTCAAACTTTGCTAAAATTCAGCTAGACTATCGTGGTTTGGTGAGCCATTTTGCTATAGAAGTGTATGGGGTTTTTTCCTTTAGTTTTATAGCCCTTACTGTCGATCAAGACCTAATTTACTGATTTAATCGTTCACTGGTTCCATACATCCATGCAAGTAACAGGAGAGGGCGTGATTAGCCCCTTGAATCACCGTTGGCTGCTGGTTTGCAGACGTGCGGGACTGAGGCAGCGGTTCCGTGGGAGGCTGGAGGGGGGGTTGAGTGACCTGCTTTGGCAGTGCTGACCCTTCCTCTGAAGGGAACAGAGACAGAGACTACAGTTTTAGCCACTTCCTAATATTTCTGTGGAGTGTGGCATTTCCATTAGTGCTCAGTATTATTAAGGCTTGCCTCCAATTCATCCACGCTGCTCGGAGTTTTTGATTTCCTGACATGGAAGCAGGAGAAGCTCCCACAGCAGTTTAGAACCAACAGTGAGTTATTGGGGATTCTTGAAACTCCAGCATCTGACTGTTCTGGCTGTGGCAGTATGGTTTGTCACCACACATTGTTTGCTTTGAGCATATGAGCACCTTTTGGGTTTGGTGCTGTGTGGTGGTTTTGGTTTTTGTTTTTGTTTGTTTTTTTTTTTTTTCCCCTGCTATTTAAATGTCCCTAAAGCTAAAGTTTCTTGGGTTATTCTTGACATTTGAAATATCTGTTATAAAATAACACCCAAGGCTTCTACCTTGAAATTTCTTCAGCTTTCCATAAAGTTTTATATGCACTCATAACTTGTTCAAGAAAATGAAAAAACAAAGTTTCTTACCAAGTAATTCTAAAGCAGGAAAATGCCTGGGGACCCAGCTTGCTTGACTCATTAACTTTCTTATTAAGTAATAAATGAGACTCCAGATGGTTGGAATTTTTCTAGAACTGAGATAATTTTCTTTCAGATGAAGAATTTATTTTAAATTTTATTTTAAAACTTCAGATGAGAAATAATCTGTGTGGTGTACTTCCTCACTGCTTACCACTTGCCATGAGAGAATGTTCACAGGAGCCGAGTGGTTAATTAAGTAGCTCAAAATTACAAAGTCTGTCAGCATGTACTGCGTAATATTTGACAGTAGCCGTCCGTAGAACATGAAGCAACTAGTTGCAGCAGCAGTATAATGAAGATTTATGGCTCTAGGACACAGGCTTATGTGGGAGAACAATTTGTAATAGGGGTTTTGTTTCTCATACAATGCATGCCTTTTTTTAGACTTCTGGACTTACTCAGTACTTAAATTTGTTACTTCAAATGGAAAGAGAAATCTTGCAGTAGATGCTTTTTAAATTGTCAGGCATATAAAACATGTCAGGCATGCTTAATAGGAAAAATTAAACATTTTTTTTGTCAGATTAGTTTATATTCATCATCTAACTGAGGCTGGTTTTATCTTAAGCTTTTGTACCATCTTCTCTAGTAGTAAGAGTAAAATTAAGTGAATGTAATACATAATGCCTGCTATGTTTTGTCTAAGAGCATGAGCCATTCAGAAAACTTGTTACAGCAATCTGAAAACCCTTTTCCATCTAATGACTTGAATAATTTGTTTGTCTTTGGCCCAAACTATCCCCACTTTATGTCTCCCAGTTCAAGGCAACAGGCATGTCGCTTTGCTTCTCCTAGTGTGCAGCTAAGAGACACAATTTGATGGTTGTACGATGATTTTCCTTCTTGATCTGCCACTGTGGATTGTCTTCTTGAACTTAATAATTTCAAATGTAAATACGCTGATTTAAAAGCCTTTTTTTCAGAAGACAGCTTCGGTCCTGCCAGGTTTCAAGGTCACGTGTTGACTGAGTTTTGGCATTAGAAAGCTTTCAAAGGACAGCTTCGTTAAAATTTTCTTGTGGTTGTGTGGTGGAAGCTGATGCCCACTTGCACTGTTGGGAGATGGCAGTTGTTAAAACGTCAGAGCCATCCTAGCAGACTTGGGGCCGTCGGTGGGGTGCACGGCTTCCCCTATGTTTTCCCGACTCCCCTTGCCTGTTCCGCTTTGCTCTTTATTCTTATGTTAACAAATCTCTTTGTAGACATAAGAATACTTGATCTAATCCTCGGGGCTGTGGAAGACCAACACTTAAGGCAGGGTTAGGTTTGCATTTGGGTCAAGGAAGCTGAGGTTTTGTGTGTGCGTGTGAATCGTGGCTGCGTGGTAGTTTCCATGTCTCTGGGTGTTGGTGGACTAAAGGTTAAGTTTTACTACCAGGGAAACCATATTCTTCCCTTCTTTATTTTCAGGTAGGGGTGTCCATTTCAGTAAATGGGTGTCCATAGTCAGTACGATGCAGGGTGCTTGAAAACTGCCCGCTACATTATGCACGAAGTAAAATGGCCTGTTCCTGTATGTTACAATATGCAAGTTTACCACCTTCACAAAATATTTTGCAAATAACCGGTTGTGATGGATTAAGAGGTTGGTTCTGCTTTGTTCTGATATACTTAAGTACATTTTGCCCTGCTATTACTCTGTGCACTTAATGAAGAAGAATGCTGGCTTGCTAAGCATCGTGTTTTACAGCAAGAAAACTGAAGTTTCTACATTTTTTGAATGGCAAATGGAAGTATTTTATCAAGGTGCCCAGTATACAACTGTCAGTGCTCATATATGTAATTAATCTCTAACTTTTAGTTTCTCGATAAACAGTTGAACAGCTGGGTAAAACCTGCAGAAGGATCATCTTGGGCACTTTCTGTAGATAAAATTTCATTCAGTTAGTGGGTGAAGTCAACTCTGCGCATGGCATGGTAGTACCACCACTCTTTGTATAATGGCTAGCTGCATTTTAATTAGCTTCTATGTAGTTTATGTTCTTAATGACAAATTGACTGAATTGCCAGAAACTGGAAGTTGAAAGGTGTCAGAATAGCGGTGCTTGACTTCAAGGCATTATTTTTTTCTTGCATGTCTTTAAAAGCTACAGAGTGTGAGCTTCTTGGTGTTTTCTGACTGTTCTCCATGTTCTCTTTGTGTCTGTGATACAAGTATGTGCTGTGGGCTGGTTTGAAGAAAAGGTACTGGGGGGAAGAAAAAAAAATTAAACCACCCAAGATTTGCTACACTGTTTGAATTAATGTCTAGTTGGGACCCAGCTATTTGGGGGGTGGGGGTGGGAAATCTTGTTAGTTCTCATACGGCATAGGCCTTATGCAGTCTTCTGTTTGCATGTGAACAAGTATTTAAAATGTTCTTGTTCTTTTCTGGAATAAATGCACATGTTTGGGAGAGGCCTTTTAGATAACCAAAGCAAAAAAAAAAAACAAAACAAAAAAACAAACCAAACCAAAACAAAAAAACCCAAACCAAAATAACACAACAACCAAAAACAAACAAGCAAAAACCAAAACAAAAAGCCCCGTAAATTTTCTCTGAGGGATAGCTTCATATTTTGTTTTGGCATTTGGCTTTTAGCCATGTATGGTAGTGGTGCAAGTGCAGGGCACTGTTGAAGTGAAACTAGTTAACTTTTAAACAGGTAACGCAAAATATCTTCAGTATGGCCAAGTAGCAAAGTAACTGCGTTCCTGCTGTTTTATGCATTAGTTTTGAAATGAAAAAGTGAGAGACTTATCCTAACTAAAACATCAGCGTGTTATCCACGTTATTCTCACACTGCATCCAGAACACGGCACTGTACCAGCTACTAGGAAGAAAATTAACTCTATTCCAGCTGAAACCAGGAGACACGTACTTGCTGAAGTCACAGTCAATGGCAGAGAATCGGACAGGGTAGGGGTCTGGGCTGCCCCCCTCTCAGATGTGTGTCTGGGCTCTTCCAAGCATTTGCTGCTCTGCTGTGAGTGTTTGTTTGCTGGGCAGCAAAAGGAATCCCCCGTGCCTAGGGAGATGAGACTCTTATCCAAAACCTAAATGTAAATGAAAAGCTGAGCTGCCAAAATGATGAGAGGAAAATGTAAGTGATCAAAAACCTGATGGCTCCACAGAGTCTATCCAGTATTTCTGTATATCACAGACCATGAACTATTACCAAAGAAAATTGGGATCAAGCCCTGTGACCTTCTAATCCTTTTAGAGGACAGTTGTCTCTTCGTGGGGTGAAACTGCCTTTTGAAAAGGATTAAAGGAGGTCATACTTCCACAGGCATCATTTCCTCCTTAAATTTGTTTTGCTCGTTTGTCTTCAGATTATATTTTTGGCACACTCCAGTATATGGAGCAGGCTTTTGTGTTTGTCTGAAAGGCAAAACTGCCTTACCTGGCTGATGAACTTAGGGTTTCTCATTGAAGGAAGGATGGATGCTGTGGGAGAGAATATCTAAAAAGGGATGGAGATACCAAGTGTGAAAGGACTGTTTGAGCTGAGAAAAGGTACTGGCCCAACCATAAACTGGCCTTGAGTAACTGCTGGGGCAGGGGAATTCAAACCTCTTGCCAGAGGAGCTGGTTTTAATGTGGGAGCCTGCTGCGTGCAGCTGGGAGATCGTCGGAGTGACTTGTCATAGGAAGAGGCTCAGTTGTCATTGGGAGGCTCAGCCCCACGTTCCCCTGTTAACACGGCGAAGCTGCGTTTCCACCGGCTTTCAACTATTTTTATTCCTTTCTGCATCAGTCTCCTGTCCCTCAGGCGGATTAGAAATGCTAATGCTGCAATGCTGCCCTTCTTTGCATGCACCAGGAAAGGGCCTTTCCTTTAGAAAGAGAAGGGCAGAAAATCTGTGTGTGTGTGTGCAGTTGGAGGACACACACTGTATTTTGAGAGGGGGAAAAAAAGGTCTCTTCAAAACAGGATTAAAAGAGGGGTTCTTAAGATAGCGTGCTGCCTGAAAGGGACTCCATGCAAGAGGCAAAGCCCTTGGTCCATTTTCTGGTCCTTTTTCAGCTCTTTTAGGCGGAGGTGAGATGTCTTTTGCACTAGACTCAAGTGAAATTGCTGCTTAATTATGTGCCATCCTATAGGACTCTCCCCATGATGGTTTATTATTACCCTGGGTTTTTACAAGCAAATTCAATGGCGTGTCAAACCCTTCCTTCCTGCTGAGCTGAGGTGATCGGCCTGGTGTTGATTCAGGGGACCTTCTTGTTCCCCAGGGGGTTCTCCCTGCACCCAAACAGGAATCTGCTCTGACCGCAGGCTGGGCGGAACGCAGGGACGCAGCCCTGGGGACCCACCGGCCGGCTTCTGCTGGCAGAAGTCATTCTCCCGAGACTTCGGAGTGGAAAAGCAAGGGTTGTGCTTGAGGAGGCAAAGCCTCAAACGTCATGTTCCAAGGGGAATTTAAACCGTTTCACTTTCCTGAGCGAAGGCTTTGGAGTGGGGAAGGAGGTAAAGGATCTGCCAGCGGCGTTGGACTCCGGCTGTTTTACAGTCCTCTGGCAGCTGCACTTGCAGCGCGTGGCTGTGACTCCCAGGTGAGCAAGGTGTGGAGCCTGCCCTGCCTCCCGGCCAGAATCACCCCTTCCCTGCCCCAGGGAGAGAACGTGGAAGCAAACAGCATGATTTCCAGCGGGGCGACTTACAGACGTAGAAGGGAAAACTGTGTGGACAAGGAGAGAGCAGAATGGGCAGTGCTAGGGATTTAGTCTAGCTGTATCCTTGATAAATGGTCCTAGCTCTGAGCCGGTCCTCTTGGGAAGTCAGGATTCCTCTGCAGTTTTCCTGTAGCTTCATTTGAAATGCCTGTTTCACTTCGCCCAACTGCCAGCTGTCAGTAGTGCTTTGTGCTATTCTAAATATTTTCTTGAGAATTACGGCCCTACAGTATTTGGAAATAATACACATACAAAATTATAATGTTGGGGTTTTTTTATATGTCTATCTTTCTTGAGCCTTTTGAGTTAAATCATCCCTGTGAGTTACAAGATGTTCTATTTCATGCGTAAATGATGGAAGAATTTAAAACTAAGGAATAGTGTGGATGTTTCACAAGCGCTGGCACAAGAGCTCTGCCTTCTACTGCAGATCATCACTGTTCCTTCAGTCGCATTTCAAAGATTTTCCTGCCTGTTCCGTATGAGCTTGTCTGAGTTGACAGTGGGGACGTCCTGCCCACCTCCAGTCGTGCTCCTTGCCCGTGCTTTCAGAGTTTCTACGGTGCAATGAAATACCAGTGACAAAATGCTTTACAGCTCTTCCTACTGGATCTAAAGCTTGTTCCGCACCAGTCTAACGCGGCACTTGCTTGCAGGAGGGGGAGAAGCTACCGCAGGGCGCTGCAGCTCTGGCTTTGTGCCGCCTTCCCGGGGGGGGGCCCGACGCGGTGGTGGCTGCTCTTCTCCCTGGGTTTGGGCCAGGCCGGTGGGAGCCGGGATCCCTGTGTGCGTGGGGCTGGCGCCCGGGAGGCAGCGAGACCGTGGGCAGGCGCCGCTCAGACGTGGTCCCGCTGCGGGGGCAGCTCGGGGAGGAGCGGAGCGGGGCTGCAGCCGGGCCGACTCTCCTGCGCCTGGGAGCGTGCGAGGGTGTCTTGTGCATCTCCCAGGTGGTGCAAGACACTGCTCAAAACAGCCCCAAATCTGCCTTAAGAAAGCTTGCATTACCAGCGAGCATTTTGGTGTGGACTCTCTGCCTTTAAATAGTTTCTCTGCCATGCTGAATGACTTTGCAATTTGCTTATTCCGTAATTAAAAATCTTAGCTGGGCAGTCCTAAGCCCCTGTCCGCTAGTTAAGCTTCTCCCTGCCTGGGGCTGTTCAATAAATCATCAGTCTTTTCTACAGCTGCTGCAGTGATAACTTCTTTTTTACAGAAAAGACGAAAGCGGGAGCATTGAGCCGCCCGACTGACTGAGCTGGAGGAGGAGCCGAGTCCCGAGGCCAGTGTCAGGGTCTGTCCCCGTGGCTCATGTTCCTGCCGCAGTTTTGCCTAGATCGGGCACATCTGCGCACACCAGAGCATCACAGCTTCTGCCGCTGGGGGTGGTTTTCAGAAGCAGAACCAGGATGGCTGCAAAAGCACTGCCTCTTCCTTCCACTCAGAAGGAAGAACTGAAATAGTGGCTCCCGATTCCGCCGTGCTGCGGCAGAGGGTAAGGGAGGTCTCAAACTCGCTGGTGTCCAAAGCGGGGCCCCGGCGGCTGCGGCAGCGCTTCCCCACCTTTACCCTGCAGCCCGAAAAAAGCGGGTGAAGGCCAGGAGAGAGGCGACCCCGTCCGAGCGGAGAGCAGCAGCTGTAAGCCAAGCAGCAGGAGCTTGGGCAGGCTGGTGAAGCCGCTCGTGGCACTTGGGGGGGTGTAAAGCCTTGGGGTGCAGAGGACGGGGATGACAAGCGCTGTGCTGTCAGCGGGGCTTCCGCTGGGGGCTGTGCTTGTGCGTCCAGAGGTGCTGTGAAATGAAAGGTGAGAGGCAGCCGTATCTGTCGTACACTTTATTTTTCACGTGGAGCTCGGCTGATAAATAGGACTGAATTAAAGCAACACTCATGAAAAATAAAACCCAACCATGACTCAGAAGTGCAAAATTGCCCTCCACGTGTCCAGGGACAATGAGGTTCTGGTTTGCTGGAGACAGCACATGGATATTGGTGTCTGTACCAGCAGGGCAAAGGCTTCAGCTTATTGATATCCTAAATGCGGAAGGACGCCTGGTACAGTATATGGCTTTGTTGCTGGGTAGCCACCTGTGACTGAGAAACAGCTTCTGATAAGTGGAGGTCACTGGTGAGTTTTTCTCCAGTTCCTATTTACAAGTCATGGTGCTGTCTTCCACTCAAACCACCGAACAAGGGCTGCTGAACAGTAAGTGCTATGAAATTTAAAAAACAACAACAACAAAAAAAAAATATAAGAAAAACCCAACCAAACCACGGTAAAAGCCAAGAACAACAAAAATCTGCCCACCTCCCTTGCATTTGGACATGGCTCATCATATAAACAGCACCAGTAGAGAGCAGACGGTTCCCATGGTGGAGGAGTGGTTTGTGATGGGAAGACTTAAGACTTGCAAAGGATCAGAAAAACTAACAAGTGCATCCCAAGTACGAAATTACAGTAACAGGTTGCCTAAGGCTGAGAAAGGTCTTAATTGCATCGTCCCATCGGGTGCACAGCTGGCAGCAGCTGAACTAGCTGTGGCTCTCCCTTTGCACGTCCCCCCCTCTGCCCTGCTTGTCTCTCTTGGCAGCTCTGTGAAGGATCTAGCTTGACTTGAGAGGCCACAGCAAGCCACAAGATATTTTGTACTCAGTCTTGTGGTAGTCCGAGAAGTATCTGGCAAAACGTTCGCAAAGAAAAACTGGTTACCCTGTGGTGGGGAATGGATGAAAGCTGTAGGGGATGAGCAGTGTGCGGGGCTCATTTGGTGCCTGGTAGAAGGGTTTGTAATTTACCTGCCTGGGAAAGTGTCTGGCAGGGGTGAAAGGAGTTTACCTACTAGGTCACTCGTGAGGTAAGGACGGTAGCCGGCTGGGGGGGTTGCTGCCAGCAGGTACTACCCCCGCCCCCTGTGCTCAGGCACTCGGTCACCTTGCTCCTTCCATTCTTTCCCAAGAGCTGCTCAGAGCCCCCTGCCTCCCCATCCCCTCCCCTGGGACAGGCACCTGCCTGCACCCTTCACCTGGCTGGCCTGGTACCCCGGTGGGCGCTGGGCTGGAGAACAAGCCCGGGAGCAAAACCACATCATTGCTTCACAGCCCTACCCCAGGGATGCGGGCTGGGTGCTGCCCGCGGCGTTCCGGGCTGTGGGGCAGGGCAGCCCTGGGGAGTGGGGGGTCCCCCACCTTCGGAAATCCTGCGAGTCGGTGGCCGCCTCACCGGGTGCCAGCTGCGGGACGGAACGGTGGAGCTGGACGTCGGGCAGGTCTGGCTGTGCCAAGCTGGGAGGAGATCAGCTAGGGCGTCGAGGGGGAGGGAGAGCTTCACTCGTGCTGCCCCTTCTGTGGCTCTGCTTGGGGCTGTACCGGTGTTGCGGACTGAGAAGGAAAATCCCCACGCCTAATCCCGTTTAAAAGATTTCCATTGTTTTTTTCCAACTTTTTCTTCCATGTTAGTGTAGAGGAATGGCCTCGAGACCCCTGCGGGGGCGGCATGTCTGTGAACACAGCTTGGTTATAGAATGTGAGAAATCCGTTTGACTGGCTGAGTAGCACGTGAGGACAGCAGCGCTGTTGTGCTCGTCGTTTGGCGACAGCAGGAAGCAGCAAGGGTTCCTAGGAGGCCACGTCCCAAGGCCTTGGGATCCCACGTGTGTTTTTTAGAATTCACCGCTAAAAATCACCAATGTCTTCAAACTATCTGTTTCCTACAATGCCTTCCAGCTAGAGCTATCTTTTCACGTACTTTCTTGCCTCCAACGTGCAACAAAGCCAGGGAGCAAAACAAGTTATCAGGTAACTGTTCAGGCACTAGGAGCACGGAGAGCGATTTGATAAAGCAAATGCAGCCTGACTCTTTACATACACCCCGTACCGAGGCTTGGTCAACAAGCAGCATTCAATAGCTCTATATATATTAAAGGGATTTCCACCAACTCAGCTGGAGAGCTTTCCATTTCACTGGCATGGTTTGGCGTCTGGGGCAGATTTCATTCAAAAAGAAAAAAAAAAAGTGAACTTTTACTTCCCGTTTCTGAACGTATTTGCTGCAGCAATGCCGTTTCTTCGCGTGCCAGAAGAGCTGGAGGCAAGCAGGGCCCGCTACAACCGCATCTTCTCCGTCCAGGTGGCCGTGGCCGTGGCGGGCCGGGCCCGGCTCGGGAGCTGAGGGGGCCGGTCCTGCAGGCCCCGCTCGGTGCGGAGTTCCCCGGCCTGGCCGCAGCAGCTGTGAGCAGCAGGAGGGGGACAGGAACTTGCACAAGGGTGTTCTGTTTTTCTGTCAGTCCCCGGTTCCGTGCCTGGCAAGCGCTGCTGGCCGGGCCTCCGGGCACCGCGAGGGAGTGGGGATGGGAGAAGCTCTTCCTGAGATCTCCCTTGCTGTGCTCCAGTCCGTTTTCAGCATCTTCTCCCAGAGCACGTTCCCTGCTGTCAGAGATACCCCAGATGTTCCTCACGCTTCTCCCCATCCAGCGGTTGAGTTCATAGCTTGTTCTTCTGTCTCATGGTTAAAAAAATAGTTATTTTACTTTTCATCCTCGTCTCCCTCGCTCATGCTGCTGAGGGAGGCAGAGGCAGCTTTTGGAGAAGAGGGAGGGGAGGCTTTATTGAAAACCCAGGGCGGAGATGGGGAACGGGACGGAGAACGGCCTCGCGTAGGACTGCTGTTCGGGCTCTGCCGGGGAGAAAAAGCCTGGAGCATTCGGCCGCTTCGTTCCTGGAACATCTGCTTCTGCAAAAGCAAAGTGAAAAGATGCTCTCTGAGTAATGCGCAGAGGGGAAGGCGTGTCTGTGGGCAGGCAGGGGCTGTGCTGCACCCCACTTCTCGCCTGGGAGAGAGCAGGAGGCAGAGGCCAGAGCCGCTCTGGAGCGCAGCCAGATTGGCCCCACTCAGCCTCTGCCTCTTCGGCTGTGCTCGTAATAACCCGTTTGCTACAGGGCAAGGTTTTCTCTTAGATCAGTCACCCCTAGTGTGAGAATACTCTGTGCATTGTCCTAAGCCAGCCAGGGGGAACTCCCTTCGGATTTTTTTGTATGTGTTGGTCACACCCTGCGTGTCAGAAAGTCAGTTTTCTGCCTCAACTCCCGCTGTTCCTTGTTCCCAGGACCTTTTCTTTTTAGTGTGCTGGGGTGGACTGCCCGGCTCCTGCCGAGCTTCCGGGCTGGCCCAGCCTTCCTTCCTCCTTCCCTTCTCAAGGGAGGCAGCCCCGTGCCTGCCAAATACTGGCAGCCGCTTCCCCAGCTACCTGGAGCAGGCACCACCCAAACCCTTAAACGGGGGGTGGGCATGTCAGAACGCAGGTGTCTTTGTTGAAAAGAGAAACACATGCGGGCTCCATGTTCTGCTTTGGGCTTTATTGTCATTTTTGCTTTGTAAAGCTGAGTGGAGGCCTGCCAGAGCTGGTGGGGTGGAGGAGACCACCTTTTCAGCCAAGCAGTCTGCTACACTCAAGGCAAACGCCGCTACTTGTTAGTGCCTACGTGGCCCTGCGTTAGGCTGCCGGGCTGGGTTACAGGAGAGCTGGCGCGTACTGCGTGGCTGCTGCAGGTTTCACGTGGAAAACGCCAAATGCGACTGCCTCGCTGCTCCTCCCGGGGATGGGGAACGAGAAGCCTCAACCTTGGCTGAAGTACTGGGAGTTGGTTCGCAGGCGATGCTTGGCTGAAACAGAAGAGCCAGCCCGGACAAAGTTAAGTCGTCGCTCAGGTCTGAGAGCAAAAACACCTCTGCAGAATGTATTCTGGGTTTGCCTGCTTGGGCTGTGGCAGTCCGCAGACTGTCTCACCTTCAGTTTTTGTTTTATTCCTCCTCCCGTTCCCCCTGCAGTGAGTCTGCTCTGTGAAGATCTTCCTCCCAGCCAAGGAGCCTGTGGCTGCCCATCTTGCTCTTCCTCCCCCTCTCTACAACTCGGCGTTCCCCACCAGCGGAGGGGCAGACGTGAGGTTTCCCTATCGGATTTCTGGTGTTCCCTAACCCTGGGGGTTAACGACTGAGCTCAAATACCAAAATTAACCGTTCCTCTGTAAGCTCCCTCATCCAAGCTTTATTGCACTGGACTTTATTAACTTAGTTTTAGAGCCTAAATGTTGCTGCAGTGTGGAATGACAGAACAGTTCCCTCCTGAAGCTGCGCTTAGCCGTGCTCTTGCACAGAGACTCGCGGCGTGTAACCTACCCCTGCACTACTGCTACATCCAGAATAGTCAAGACTCCCTAAAATCTCAATAGGTAGCAGATGGTGGTTGCTACTGATAAATGGTGCCAGGAAGCATTTGGCTGGGGGAGGGTTTGGGCTGCCAAGAGCTGTGAGGATGTCACCAGGGCTGGCAAAGCCCTGGAGCCTGCTGCAATTGAGTAGTAGGAGTGCAAAATTTCCCTTCAGATCACAGAAATTGTGGGTTTGTTGGCTTGACTTAGTCTGTTTCATCCTCTCACCGAAGATAACCCCCAACAAAAAAAAAAAAATTATGTTTGATATCAAGTATCTTTTTCCTGGCCACTTCACAAAGCTGAGGGACGTTGTGGTGCTTCATGGTGGAGTGGTACCAGCGCCGAGGGAGATGGCGGTGGCCCAGCTTGGCTGGTGTCCCCATCTGGGGAGGGGGTATCTGACTCTACCTTGGGCCCCAGAGGCCGGGGATGGAAAGGAGAATCCCACCTTCCTGCTAAGGCCCTCAGCCAGGCTGGAGACCACCCCCTTCCCAGTCCCTGCTTCAGCCAAGAGCCTGTTGTCTGAGCAGGCTGGTGCGCTCCCACCTTCAGCAGGGGAAGTGCCCGGCTGGTCCCCACCGCCTCCTGCGTTAGTGCCTTAACTGCCAGGTTGCTGCCAGTAAGTCACGCCTGTCGCAGGCCAGGTCCTCCTGACAGGGGTTGCTCCTCTGGCTGCCAGATGCTGAAGAAGTAGAACAAGCCCTAATAGCTTCCTGCAAGTGCCAGAGGGTTAGACAAGGCTGGGTGCGCTCTGGACCTTTACCAGAGGTGGGAAAATGATTTCAAAGCTTTGGTTCAAGCAAGTTCAGGCACACCCAACCACCTTAGGGAGACAATGCTTTGCTTCTGGCAAACTTGCTACCGGGCAAAAATATTTTGCCCATTTCTGAATTGTATTGCCTGCATGTTGATACTCCTTTGCTTTACAAAGCAAGGGCCAGCTGGGTGTTGTGGAGGACTGCTGCTTTTGAGCTGCTCTTTCCAGGCCGTGCTCAGGTCCAGGCTGCGGACGCGCGGCGCGGCCTAAACGCTGTCCCTGGGTCCTGGCTACAACCTGTAAGGATTTATCTGAGCCCCTGCTGATGTCTGAGGTGATGGAGCCGTTTCCCAGTGCAACCATCCCCGACTCCCTCTGTGCACTGAGCAGAGGGAAGCTGGCGGCCCTTTGAGGGGACGCCTGGTCTGACGGGACACTCCTGAGGGAGCCTGGCACGGAAACCCTGCGCTGTGAGCTTTGCTTTCTCTCCGCTGACCTGAAGCGCAGCTGCCTGCTCGTACGTGTCTGAGGGGAGGTGGAATGAACCCCGCTGATCCGCGGAGAGGCATCTCTGCCGTCAGGGCCCCCGGGCCAGGCTGCGTGGTGGTCCTCTCTCACACCAGAACAAAAGTTTCACGCCGCGTTAATCGTTGTTCCTGACCCCTCTGTGACTCTCTCGCGGAAAAAATACATACAGGGGATTGCACAGGTGGGCAAAACTGCCAGGGAATTACAGACATCTTGACATTTGAAAACTGACATTTTGACCTTTTTCACAAATGGGCATTTTTTGGTGGGTTATGTGGCCCTTACTTTCAGAAAATTGACGCTAGCATAAAGTATATTATAATAATTATTTGTGAAATAATAATAGCATATTAATGGCATACAAATTACTAATCTAGGAATCCAGCGTGCCCATAACGATTCCTGTACTTTTAATGTCAACATTAAAAGCAACATCTAACTAACAGTGATAAGGCAAATTAATGTTAATAACAGTTTTGACGCTAATAGCAAGTTATCATTATTTTAAAAGTCTTTCCTGTTGCCAAGGCTCAAGCTGATTTTAAAAAAGCCACACCACCTCTCAGCTCGCTGTCACTGATGCTTTTCCAGTAACACAGTGAGGAGATTTCACTCCTCTTGTTCTTAGCAAAGGTCTCTGTGACTGCACCAGATTTCCTGCTTTGTGGTCAAACACTAACTCGGGAAACAGGACCTCTGCAGAGCAGCTCTTCTCTAATCAAATTTGGTAAAATGTCCTATCAGCAAAGGGTTTTTAAAAATGCCATCACTGTGCAATGTTGAGTGGGTAGAGCCAGGCAATGGGATCAAGGCTTTCAAATTCTTTTCCTCTCTCTGCACAGCCAAACTCATCTCACCTCCCATGGGTTTCACCTGTTCTGTCAGCATTAGTTTGTTTTATTCGGCACCTACGGCCACAGGACCATCTCACCTGGGGAACGCTGGCCAAGCTCTCTGGAGAATAACTTACAGAGGAAGCTTCATGTGGATGTGGTCAATGCAGGTAAACCTGGGCTTTTGATCAGTTACCCTCTTCCCCTCCCCAAGGAAGGGGATACTGTCAATGAACAAATTGCTAAATCAGCTATTTGTTTATATGGCTGGGATGGGTGTTATTGAGAGCACCTGCCTTTGCGTGGGACAGACACAGGAGATTATAAAGCTGCAGTCTCTGTTCTGAAGCCTTCTCAGACTAATCTTAGGCTTTTCTCAGCTGAGTGGCAATGGACACAGCAAGCTATGACAGAGAAAAGGTGAGAACTACAGGGAGAAGCAGGTACTACGTGCTTTGGTGGCACTGAGTTGTGACACAGCTGTGATGTGGGCTGCTTAATTCACCGGGGATCTGTGACTTCCTCACGGTTTGTGAACAAAAACTCTGCTGAGATCCTTTCAACAGAAAGTACCTTTCACAATGGGAAGTTGCTTAGGTATGAACTGGTAAGAGTGACCTGAGAGAACATGACACGTGTGTTGCCTCTTTGAAAATATTCCAACAGTATCTGATTCAGGCTAGTCCTAAACGTATTTTTTTTTTTAATTCCTTTTTTGTTGTTGTTGTTCTTCTTCTTGTTTTTTCTGGCTTGCTGCCTCTATTTACATTTTGTCTCCAACTCTAATCCGTGAGCAGTTAAAAGCTTTGCACAAGCCTCTTGCAAAGGATTTGCTCTCAAGTGAGGAGGGAACTGCCTGTCTGTGTGCCACTGTCTGAAAATGTACCTCTGAAGCATCCTGCTGTTCCGCAGGATTATTTGTCTAGCTCTTACTCTGCTCCCCTCAGCTCACTCTGCACTGCTTGCTGCTCTCCTCCGTGCTTGCTCGCATTTCCTTGAACTGAGCAAAAGCTTCACTCGGAGCTTGCAACTAGAGCAGCATGTCTGAGATGACGTGGGTACTGGAGGGTCTGGCTGGGGCCTGGGCTTCCACCAGAACAGAGCTGTGCAGAGCTTGTTGGAAACAGACAGACTCCCAGTAGGAAGATCTAAGGTCTGTTCAAACAAATTATAAATTCTCCATTCAAATTAAACTTTGCTACTGGTTTCAATGTAGCAAAGGGAAGTAGTACAAGAAATCAGTTTCTCAATCCAGTAGAACTGGAAGATGGGCAATAGGACTCTTCTGGGGCTCTCAAGCATCAGCAATTCAGCACTCAGTGCATGACCTTGGTTTGAGCAGGTAAGGCCCTGGGGTTTCTCCCCAGAAGGATGCTGTTGCAGACTCTCAAAAGCCTTTCCAAGGCACCTGGGGACCTTTAGTAAACGGACTCTGTGGAGCCAGCATGTAGCAAGAGCTCTCAAAGTGCTTCAGTTCCGCCTGAGCCTTCCCTGCAGTCAGTTAGATGAGCCTGGCCACACACCAGGTAAGACCATTTCCTGGAACTTTAAATCAGTAGTTTTTAAAGTTAGAAAGTTGTCTTCTGCTGCTGCTGAGTACAGAGCAGGAAGAGAACTATTGAAAAACTTTTCAATGGTCCTGTTTCCCTCACCACCTCCAGCGTGTAATTCCTCCCCGATGTCTGTGTGGTCCCATCTAGTGCTAATGGGGAGAACAGACTGTATTAGCCTGTTTGCTCATGTGTTGCTGTTACGCATCTCTACTGAATGCAGTATCACATTCAGCATCACACCTTCACAAAAGACAGGAATCCTAAAGAAGCAACAGCCAGAAGTGGCAAATCCTCCCGCTGCAGTATTGGCATGTGTTATTGGTTCAGCAAGCAGATTTGGTGCTATCCTGCTGTGCTGGCTTTCAAAACAAAGACTGCAGCAAAAGAATCTCCTCTTGATCTGTGTTACAGAGGAAAAATAAAAACCACTCAGACTTCCTGGGATGGCAGAATACCTACCCAGGCTCCGTCAGGTCCAAACAGCTCTAAAAAGTTGCCAATAAATTCCCTGGACTTTTCTTCCCATTTCTGAATGAGGTCATGGCTCTTCTCTTCCACCTTGTAAACAAATTCTTTTGATTTTTCCTCCACATTCTTGACTTTTTCTTTCATTTTGTCCACTTGGTTTTGAAAGCGGTATTTCTTCTCCTGTTTTAAAAGTGTGTACAGAGATTAATATATAGGAACTTGGAAATAATTAGCCACTGACAGTTAAGAAGATACAAATTGCATTAATGTGTCCTGATACATATGGCCTTGGTTAACTACTCCCATGTTATTTTTATAAATGCAAATTTAACATTTGTGGAATGAAGTGCAGAAGGTACATATTGAAAAGGCTGCCCTGTGTGATTACTGTGTTTAATCCATTACATGAATCTTTCCGTATTTTCAAACCGAATGTACTTTGAAAATTTTATGGATCTTGTGAAGGATACAAGTGAGAAATTAACAGCTCAAACTTAGCAGTAAGCTAAAGGCAAATCTCCCTGGGTTTCCTAGCAAACACAGCCCACTGCTGACTTGCCAGCCTGGATGTTAACTTGGACCAAAATGTCTCTTTGGTTGGATTTCTGCAGAGCAGAAGGAAAACTCTCTTCACCTCCGAGCCTGGCTAATGAAGGAGCTTCTGGTTGCAACAAAGATGTGCGTAGGCCCGTGGCTTGCGGCCAGCAAACTCTATAGAAAAGAGAGCAAACTCCTAATTGCTAAGTCACACAGGAAGAGAGGGACAGAGAAGATAATGTTAGGGATCTCTTGTTGGGCCAAACTTCTAAAATACTTCAGGGTTAGAAGGCTTTTGTCTTAAAATGCTTCTGTGCTCTGCAAACGTACAGTGCACCCAGCTAATGCGGGGCCCTTGAAGGTGTAACAGTCTCTGTAGAAGCACAGGTCACCACAGGCTTTTCATTTCCTGTCAACTTAACTTAATGAGCTCTTGAATTTACCTTTAAAACAAATACTGTTTAGTGCTAAGGTGGGTTTTATTCTAACTCATGAATCACCAGAAGAACCATCTCTGCAGGCCACAAGGCCAAATAACATCGTCAAGATCAGAAGAGACCAAACTCGTTTAGAACCTATTTAGGTGATCAACCCTTCCCTTCACAAGGAAACCAGCGCTCTTCTGCCTTGGTGAAATCCTGTGTTTTTAATTTTGAAGCACACAAATAGTCTCTGATGCAAATTAGTGTTTCTGCATTTAAATTACTATATGCTAAATAACCAAAGGCCAGGAGGGACTTCAGGATACATCAGTGCCTGAGACTGAGAGAAGCATACCTTATGCAACAGTATCTTAACCTCAGAGCCGCTAAAGGCTAAATTTGAGAACCCCCCAAGGCATCCAGCATGCCTTAATTTAATGGATATTTGCAATAGTGATTCTTCTGGGAGGAGTACTTACAAGCAGGATTTTTTAGAAGTGTAGAAGACTGAAAAAAAAAGCAGTGCAATAATTATTTTTGCCCCATGATCTGCACCCTGGTTTATCTGCCAGACTTCAAAATTAGAAGTATAGAAAACCCTTGTGAAATGACACAATTCAGTCTTTCACAAGGGGCTTTCCCACCTTCAGAGAAGGAGGTGGGAAGTGCTGCCATGAGCCAGCCCAATCACAAGGAAGATTTCAGTTATGTAGGTTATCTTCAGGCCTTAAGTTAAGACTTGAAACAGAAAATTAATTAAGCTTTCATTTCTGTTAAGTGTTTACTCCTCACTGGAGGATAAGGTGCAGTTCTGTACGTGGAAGATGAAGAATTTGAGCCACCCCTTCAAATGGTGCTCTTGCCCTACCTATTGTGGCTTCTGATCTCTTCAGCATCATTTATGTACCAGCTTCCTAACACGCTTTCCGGTCTTTTAAAAACAATTTTAGCTTCCTCTAGTAATCTCACTGCTCAGCGGTTGGTGAGGTTTTTTGGTTTTATCCTGTTGTATTGCAGAGAAAGTTTGGAAATCAGCATTTTTGCTCTCAGTGCTGCCTTCTCACAATGGGGGTAAAGGAAGAAATCATGTCTTGGGTGGTGGCTGTGGCTGGGGGGTGGGCTCCTTCCTAGGGTGTCATGAAGCCACCTACAGCTCAAGGAGGAAGGGGGAGCAGCAGCTTTGTTACAAATGTGAAAGCGTAAGATGGAAATGAAGCTGCTAATTAATAGGAGCAATTAAAACTGCCCTCAGATTACCAGTTTCTTTTAAATTAAGTTCTTCCCAGCTATTTTAAAAGCAGCTGGAGGAAGATATCCTTTCTTAACCTTTACTCTACATTCAGGGTCCTAGGAAAGAGTGTTTCAGAAGCAAATGCAGAGTGGTGTACTTACATTTATAAAACTAACATTCAGCTCTTTGGCGGTGTATCCTCGTTGGAGGTTGCGCCGGGCATACACGTCGTAGTCCCGGACGATCCTTGTGATGATATCCGATGTGGAGATACCTTCGGTTCTCTGCGTTGGTACAAACATTCCTGAGCAAAGTGGGAAAAGAAAGCCCGCTGAGAAAGCATGGCAGGACCAGGCACTGCGGCAGGTAGCTGAGGATGAACACAAAAATGCCTGACCAAAGGTAAGAGACTTACGATTCTGCCTGTCTTATTCCTAGTTCCTTCTCGTTATTCCTGTGTGAGCTTAGGGAAGGCACTAGGTTGCTATACCATTCGTTCTTCCTCAACTCTTCAGAAAGGCTAACACTTGACCTCTTCACAGTGTCAGTGGTGATGTGGAAGTTATTAGACTGGCAGGGGCTCCTGAGCCAGGAAGGCTAAACCTCATGGTTGTGGCAATTCACTGAGCAGTTCTTTCCATAATCACAGCCCATATTTCCTGTTATATAAAGGAGTGGAGGTTTGGCTTCTGCTCCCACTACTGAAAGGCCATTTGCTGCTCTCCTGTGTATTTTCACTCTCCCCTACACTCCTGTGCTGCACCATCTGATGGTCTTTGTTCTGTTGAGTAAAACAGACCAGCCTCTGGCCTTGGCCAAAGCCAGGAAGCACCTTCAGGTAAAAGATGGGTTACGGTAACTGGAAAACACCTGGGAGGTGCCAGTAGCTTGTAAGAGGAAGGTGAAGTGCAATGGTAGTGTGAACGAACATGGATATACCGTGGGGACTGAGGGGATCAGTCTCCATAGCCCCTGTTTCATGTCAGCCTGGCCATGTCAGTGGCTGCCTAACCGCTCTCCCAGCTCCAACAGATCAGTCCCCAAGAAAACTGGCCATTTATTAATACTGCTTGTATTTTCAACACAGCTGAGGTATTTTTAAATTGCTCCTCATCAAGACACTATTACTTGAACTGTTAATGCAAGTCATAAAGGCAGGAATAGCAGAGTACTACCACACCTTGGTTTAGTAGTTATTTAGGGCTACAAAAGGTTACTACTATCACTTATACATAATTGCAACATCAAGCTGCTGATGAGAGTGAGCTGTAAGATAAGACTGGAAATGGTTTTGCAAAAAAAGAAGTGCTTTGTCTTGAAAGGGCGCTATAGCTACCGGCAAAATTTATCCCCACACCTTGAAGTAAGCAGGCATTGCTAGCTGAAGTAGGCAGGCATTGCTAGCTAATTTCATGGGATTAGAAAAAGATCTGGAGAAGGAATCAAGAAGCTCAGCAGTCTCTTGTGACCAAATGCTGTGGTATTTTCTCCTTCTGATCTCTAATACTCTGCTAACAAACAGATTCTTTTAATCACAAGCAGAGAGGTTTCCCTGATTGTGCTTTTCAGGCTTGCAGCAGTCACTCAGGGAACTAGTTTTGGAAGCTGTGAAACCCACTTTGAGCCAGAAGCTTTTATAGGTAGGAGCTACAAGAATACATGAACAAAATCCAAACCCTACCCTTGCTAAGCCAAAAGCAGAATTGTTTTCAAGTAGATGCACAAACCAATGTATGAGAACATTACCTTTAGTCACCAGTTTTGTTTTCATACGCCTCACTTGTGGACCGATTCACACTTTCCAAATTAACTGTTCACAGATATGCAGAGGTTTAGTCAGCACACTGTTACCCAGCTCACTGTTGTCCATCTGCCTTCCCACCCACTGAAGGGAGTGGGGAAATCGGAGCCCATGGGAATCTACACAAGGGGCTCCACCATTCCCACTTGCTTCTCTGCTCCCCAACAACCCGATGTGGGAAAACGGGAGTACTGAAACTAAGGAAAATGCACAAATGCATCTGCAGCATTAGTCTAGTTAAAACAAAACCCCCTAGTAGGAGGGGGAAATTCACTGTTGTAATAATACTATTCTGGACTATCACAGCACTAGCTCTCAAAATTCTTCACAAATAACAAAACATTATTCCCAGTTTATATGTAACAAAATTCAGCCATACAAGACTGAAGACACTTCTCCAGCATCTCACAGTGACAGACACAAGTCCCTGAAGCCGTAAGTCCATACTCTATTCTGCAAAGTTTGAATTTCTCGTCAGGATGCATGTGCACTGCACACCTGTGCCCAACAACAGCAGAGAAGGATGTGCCAGGTTTGAGCACTCTCCAGCTCAGTCTGGTAACAATGCAGTGACACCAAGGGCTCCTGTCATGTTGTCCTATGCACTCAGCACTTTATAGAAGAAAAGCAAAACAGCTGCCTGTCTAGCACGTATGCTGTACGTCCCTGGGTGACCCATCCTTACCTTTGTTCCATTGCCCAGTGAAGCAAGCTGGTGCTGGCTCTGAAACTGCAGAACAGCAGTTCACAGAGGAGGGTTGTGAGTCTGACACCACAGTGAGGTTTGCAAGTGGAAAAAGATCAAGAACTGCTGCTATAAAAAGCTTATTCCTTCAGCTCAGCTCAATACCTGGTCTACTGCTGTCATTGTATAGCTTGAGAAGGTCACTTTACACAACAAATTACCAAGGGGCAGATTTGTTCTGGAGTTTTTTTTAAGCCTCCAATGCACATGTTTATGTAGACCAGAAAGAGGATGGATTCACCAGGGTTCAAAGCAGTGCCTCCAGGGAGCAGAAGAAAGGCATGATCAGTTCCTCCTCCCGCACCGTTCACTGTGTTAGGACAGCTGCTGCTGGCAAACAGTCGCTAAATGTTATCTCCTCAGGTTTAATTCAGTTTCCTTGAACTGAAGAGATACAAACTCCTGATGACTTCAGCATGTTAATGTTCCATGTAATATGGTAGTCAACCAAACTGCCAAATAGACATGGCAAATTAATTGCTCTGGTCCTGATTTAAACCCTCTGCCAGTGTAGTGAAAAGAACCCCTGGAGCAAATCAGAAGTGGATCCCTGTGACTCGTGAAGGATGTCTGTGCTTGCTCATATTCCTGACTGGGCTGTGTCAAGGAGTCATCAGTTTGCAGTTATCAACAAATAACTGAAGCTGGCTGGGCTGCTATGGGAACTAAACTAATTTTCATCTGTTCAGAGCTCTTAGTCGAGAACCCTACAATTGTTTTAAAAACCCAGATGGCGCTCTTTCATGACATATCTGAACAGCTTCCTGGGAGTTATGGCAGGAATTCATCCAAGGACACTGTCTGTGGTTTCACAAAGTGAATCTTTCTGGTGAAGTCGGCAGTACCTATTGTTAGGGTGTAAGAGAATGTGAAGTTGTGGTCAAAAGGTAGTAAAAGAAATTGAGCTGAGGCTGGAAAGGAAGGTGCTAAAAATGTAAAGCTGCCCTTACCTGCCTCCTTTATGTGTTTGTATACATCATCCGAGCCAGCGGAGGAGTACGGGATGTCATCGTGGGCTACAAAGTCAATCTGCCAGTGAACAGAAGAAGAATCACATGCCACTATCACTGAATTTTGGTTCAGTGGGGGGTCATTGTGGAGGATCATCTCTCTTCTCGACTTCAGCTGACTTACTTTTGACATTCTCATCCTAAACCCATCACCTAGAATACTGCACTAGATTTAGGTCTACAACTGCTGTGTTGTGTGATCGATTACAAAAGAACAGAAAGCTTGTGTCCAGAAGCACTGCCATTAACACATCGCTCTGGCTGGCTCTGTGTGAGATTCTGTAGAAAACCTAACACACCCATTCCTGCTTTTATTGCTATTGGAAGAGCTAAGGCAACAGGCAAAGCCTTGGCTTTCAAAACCAGGGAGGCAGGACTACTGATTCTGCCTCCTTAGGGCTGTGTGTATATACATATATACCTAGGACTGTCATGCTGTTCTTTCATCACCCAGTGATGTGGACACTAGAATAGATCTTAGTTATTTATGCTTTTGTTAAGATTCATATATATTGCAAGATAGTCAATAGCATGTCAGAAATTCTGTCCTGCCTTTTAGAGGACACATGACATTTTCACATATTTCTGGCCAATTACGGCACCTGTTGACATTAATAAGAAGTGTGTCTTTAATTCAGGACTTTGACTGAACTTCAGTTACTATCCTGGTTCATAATCTCCTTTCCTCAAGGTCAATTTGTGAGTAATTCCTCAGTGTTATTTTGCCATTCAGAAATCCCACTAGGGAAATCATCTCAGCGTATTGAGAAAAAAAGGCAAGACAAATATAACATTTTCTGACAAAGGCAGCAAGCAATGCCAGGCACCAGTGGCTGGAATTAGCTGAATTAAATAATTTGCTCCAGCTAATAGAATTTCACAGACTTGCTGTTTATCCTCAACTGTCTGTCAACCTACAAAGGAGAAGGGAGGGATAAGGGGAGAAAAGTACCTTATGTTTTTCAAGGAATTCAGGTGTCAGTGTCCAGGGTGCATCTCTGATGACCTCATCCACATAACGACAGTGTCTGAGGGCTTCATATCGCTCAGTTTCATTCATCACAGTGAAGCCTTTGAATTTATGAGTTAAATCATCACTGCAAACTAAAATATGGAAGTATCAACAAAATGGCTCCACACTCAGCAGAATTAGCATGACCAGCAGTTGATTATTTCCTGATAATTCTATTAAGCATGTAGTTATTAGCTTAGCTAATTTTGGGGTGCTCCGGGGCATCTAAGACTTCTGCTCAGGGTTGGCAGGTAAAACCACAGACTTCTGAGAGATCATTCCCTTTCTGGAGCTGCAGCCACAGCCCAAATGAGACACTGTAGGACAACTCAGGTGGTACAGCATACATGTGTTGAGGCAACTCAACCCCACTATCAGTAGGGATCTAATGGTCTGTGCAATTTCAGGAGTGATGGCCAATGCTTTAAAAACAATCAAAAAGCGCAGTGTCAGCAATCAGAGAGTGCTCACTAACTTCATGTATCACAAAACGGTTGAGATCGGAAGGCACCACTGGACATTACCTAATCTATCTCCCCTCCTCACAGCAGGGTCAGCTACAGCACATTGCTCAGGGCCATGTCCAGTTGAGTTTCCAAAGATGGAGACCCCTCAGCCTCACCGGGCCTTCTGTTCCTGCTTTTTGTTCTTATGTAAACAGTGCTCTAAATGATGAATTTGCTAACAAAGCTCTAAATCACAGCAGAGCAGTTTCTCACTAAATAAACTCTGATGGAAAATAAGTCATGGCAGACTTTATAGGAATCTCTTTCTGAGTTTAGCTTTTAGTTCAGCAGGTTTCATAGAAAGAGAAGTAAGGCTTGTGCCATGTTCAAATGGGAAATCGCTAAAGGAAGCCCCAGGGAAAGGACTGGGAGAAGCTGTATGCTGTAGTGGAATGAGCAAAGTTAAAAGTCCAGAAATCCTGCATCTTTAACTCTGGATGTACCAATACTTTGTCACGTTGGTTTTAAGATGAGGGGAAGCAACACCGATGTTACCAGAGGATTAGAAAACTTAGGTTATTATCTTTCTATGTACATAAAGTTGTGTAAAACACGGTGCCCTGTCCCCACAACTGTAACTCTGTCCAATATTATAGCTACGATAGTCAATTGACACTCCACATGGAATAATGTGATACCCACTTATAGCGGGGTTGACAGTGGTTGTCCTTCACCACAGGTCAAACCTCTGGATCTCACTTGTCTGTGACACTGGGACAAATAGTAAATGTACTTGACAAATGATAAATGCAATGTTATTAGTGCTGCAGGGACACGTGAGGGCAGCCCTACGGCTGCTGCTCCTTTCTAATTTGAAAACTGCAACCAACAGGCCAGGCGCTGGCAATGATGCAGTCTTTTTTGAGATTGAGAATGGATGTTCTTGCTGTGATGGTTGTTAAGGACCTTTAAAGTAGGAAAAATGTAGGAAGGCTTAGATAGCCCCGGAGTTTGTGCAAAATTCAAAGCCAGATAATAATATACATCTGAATTTCAGCTAGTGAAATGCTACTCTATCCTATTATGTCATTTTTGATGCCTGCTGACAAGAAATTTAATGGAGATCAAAGCATTTTCAGTAGAAAGATCCTTTCTGAGGTTGTATTTACATTTACTTACAGCCTTTATGTCATCTTAAAGCCACTCTCTCCTGGAAGAAAGGGTCTACTAAAATTATTGGAAAATAGTAATTTTTGCTTGAATTTTTTAGAAATGTTTGATTTTATTTTTTGATTACTGTTTGTTCATGTGCAGCACAGACACAGTATCTCTGTATTTGCTTTTGATTTTGTCATCCTGCTCTAATGACTGATTTGGGAAAGTATAACCGTCTATTTTGAAAAAAAATCTTAGCTCCCAATAATTGTCTTTCACAATGAGACACAGAAGGGGTTGGTTGTGGTGCCCACAAAGACTCATGACACCAGTGCTTTTGCAGCACAAATTGTATGTGGGTGTGGAAAGGTGCCCATTTTTTAAACATGCTAATACACAGTGCTTTGCTGGGAAAAGGTGCTGATGAGCGCTGGCTGCTTTGTCCTTCACTCCAAAAATAAGGCAAAAGTGAAGCTGACATGAATTTTAAAGGAACCAGACTTTTTCCCCAGAGCGCCTTCCCTGATCTGGGACACCCCACACTCCTTTACAAGCAGCAACAAATCCTAAATAACTTGCATTTTTTTTTTTTTTTTAAATCTCAGAGTCTTGCACCTCCACCAGCTTCTTCTGCAAGCTATGTGGCTCAGCAGGAAAACAAGAGAGTCCTAAATGTCTCCTTCATAACAAAGGGATGTCTCCTTACCCTCCCAGGAAGCTCCATGGGAATTGCCAGAATTCATAAACTTAAGAGTAAATCCAAAAAGTGTGTTTATAAGGAGATTTTGCTTTTCCTCTATGTTTTCTTTCCCCTCTTTCAACTGATTTGGGACAAAGATGCAAAATAATGCATCTTACCAGGTGTCTGAAGGTTGCATTTACATTTACTTTATCATCACTGCTGCATGAATGGCTGAAGGTTGCTGCAAAATGTTTATGCGAGGCATATCTCAGTGCAGGGAAATTGGAACCAAAATGCATGTTTATGAGGCCTCACGAGATGAGGACTGGCTAGGCAGGAAAGAGCCACCCTCCAGTGACTCCTCAGGCATGTACCAACTGCTGAACAGCTGTTAGCCAACTGCATGGCATAAAAAAAAGAAAATATTCATAGCAAAAAAACTGGTAAGGAAGTCACCTGCCTAGGGACACCTGTGAGCTGAAAACTACGTTCAAATCATGACCTAAGTTTGGGTCTCCAATGACAATGGGCCAGATTTAGCTTCTCTGCTGATGTTGAAGGCTGGGTCTGCACACACAGTACTGACCTGGCAGCCAGGGGCTGTGGTCTGTGCCTGGCTGGCGGAGGGACCGAGGAGCCAGAAATAAATGAATGGTTGATCTCATTCACTCATCTCCATCTTTGAACAATTTTGAGAGAATAACTGAAAAAGGTAAATTATTCATATGGAGCTATTCTAAGCTCAGAGTCATGCAGGCACCTGCTTTAACTAGAATGGGAATTGTGCCCGTGCTGCTGAGGGCAGAATTTGACTTTTACTTTAATTGAAGCAATTGTAAGACATAATTCAAGGCAAATCACCTATAGAAAGTCCCCCGAGTGAAAGCAGCATTCAAAGTCATAGTGTATAAACAGCTGGGGGTGTGAGCATGGCAATAACTCTCTGATACTGAAGCACAGAAGCAAAAATACAGCGCAATAAATAACTCTGATCTTACCTCCTACTAATAAGTAGCTATTTGGGAATAGAGTTTTGGCTTGCATAAGAGCTCTAGCATGGCCAGAGTGGAAGAGGTCAAATATCCCATCTGCGTACACTCTGACGGGTCTGTCAACTGTGGAGAAAGAAACACAACAGTGATTTTTCAGGCCCCAAACAAGTTGCACTTAATTTTACTCTTAATTTTTGTTCCCAGACCAGATAAATATGGAGATTTACCCCAGTTCAGATGTTCAAAAGCACCATGGGTGAACACGCAGTGTTTTATCCTGCTCATTACTTGTTCTTCTCTGTGCTCTCTGCTGTTTTCTCTCAGGCTTAGCCTATTTATTATCATCCATCATCCCCATATTCTAATTTAGCAAAAATGTCATCTTCCTGCCTCATTTGGAGATCCACCATATGTCTTGTTCTTTTTTCTCTGCCTTTCTAGTCAGTTCTGCCTTCTGGATTTTTTCATTTTTTTGTCTTATTTCTTCTTATCATCTCCCTTTTCCTCCCCTCTTATCTGTGACTTTCTTTTTTCCACAGCTTACTATCATAAAAATGTATTGCTTAGCTCTTCCACATATTTCCCCCAAGCTCTTCTTTCTAACAAGCCTATCATTTCTTTTTCTCACTACCCTCCTGCTATCACCCTTATAACTCTTGTTTTCCGTACGACATCTTCAGCAGCAGCCTCCAGACAGAAAAAGGACTTGCTCTACCAAATGACACACCTGACAGCTGTGCCACGTCTGGGCAAAAGGACAGTGGAGACTAGAGCAAGAGAGCTCTGACCTCCACGGACTGTGCTTCAGTGCTACATAGAAATGTCTCTGCTGCCAGGACATCCAAGGGTCCACGGGAGAACAGTGTTCTTTGCAGAGCTGACTGGACAGCTGCGGCTTACCCCTATAAAGTGTACATACTTTAGAAGCTTATTTTAAGTAAGTAAAATAAGTAAACCAAGGCTTTTAAAAATAATCTATTGGAATTCAGAGGGTCTGAAGTATGTACTTGGGAGTTCATGTGAAATCATCGCATTTCCCCAGCCCAATCGCAAATGTCCAGATAAAGAAACTGGGCATGGTTTTTTTGCAAAGGGCAAAGGGTAAATGGCCTTAAAGGCCACTTAAAGTCTGGTGTGATCTGCAAGAACACCAGTGAAAGAAGTTCTCCAGCATACAGAGGCAGTACAGGAAGAGAATCCAGGCGGTAGCCACTACACAACACAATTTTCAGGCTGGCTGGAGGTAGGCTGGCGAGCTTTTCTTCCAACCAACATGCAGCCATCCACAGAAACATCAAACTCTAACTTGAAATGTTTTCTCTTGTTTCTCTAACAGAAAATAATGGTCCTGTAATTGCTGGTTTCTTCCCCATTACTTGACAGCACCAGATACCAGGCTGGCCTTTCTGCTTCCAAGTGGAAGGCACTAGTGAGCACTGGCAGATGTTCGTAAGGGAGAGCCTGTGCTCTGGGAGCACCCATGGTCCTGCTGATGTAGCAGCTCTCTACACATACCTGGTGTTCCCAGGCGGGCTTGTGCAATGGTTAGCTTCTCATGGGGGGCCTGGCACTGACAGCTCGTTTCATCTGCAAATGGAGCAGGTGCCGTCAGAGTCTGGAAGGAGGAAAAAAAACACAAAGAAAGTAAATTTGTTTTCTCCATCAAGTAATTAAAAAAGAACCACTGAACTGTGGCAGGATGCTGCAACCAGACTTAATGCTGGTTTGTTCTCTGGGGATTTTTGCTTTTTGGTCACCCTTGAGCATACACAATTCACACAAGGTAAAATGATGAGGAAAATAAAGCTTTTCAAATGCATCATGCAACCTAACTCTTTGTCTCTGTTGAGAAGCTCAAGCATTTTTGAGGTGGGTGTAGGTACGTAATATTTCTGTTTGCAGAACAAAGTCAGGTTTGATGGCCCAAGATGCTTAATCCTTGGTTTGGTCTCAGTGACTCCAAGGGCCCAAGATGCAAAATGTGTTCTCCTACTTGCAAACAATAGCTGGAAAAACTGATTGGGATTTAGAAAGCTGCAAGTGAGCCACCTCTTCACAAGCACCAGTTGCAGTTGCTTCCACTGACATCAGCACAGATAACTGGGACTATAGGTTGTTTTGTTGGGTTTTTAATCAGAATCTTGTCTAACTAGAGCTAACTGAGCTGCAACTTCTTTCTCTGGTCTAAAACCTACTGTAATATTATTCAAATGCTCTAACTGTGATCAGAGCACTACAAGGGCATTTGCTCTGAAGAGCTTATAACCTAAAGATATAAAAGAGAGAGTGAGGATGTGTGAAGAATGATGTGGCATTATCTGTCAGGAAACTTGATTACAGAAATTGTATTTTCTGCCCATGCCTATGTAGGAAGTTATCAGCGATCAGAACCTCAGATATTTATTATATGCCATATGGTCTGATATGAAAAAACATGCTCCTACTGCTCTTGGCTTGAAATCTTTATGAAATCATAGCTGAGTTATGGTTTGCTTTGTTTCTGTGAGATGAGATGGTTGAAACAAGCAGAAGGAAATCTATCACTTACTTTGCTTCCACCATGATTTAGCTGGGACCTTGTGGCCTTGCAGCTGTGGCTTGGTTGGGTTTTGACTGTGACCACTTGTGTGATGTACAGTTGTCATAGCAATTTCAGCACCCATGGTTGATTGTAATAGAATCTCTCTTCCTCTTTACACTTGTTTTCAGCTTTTAGATGCTGAACTCTTAATCACTAAGCATTTATTTTCTTTAGCATCCCTGAGACACTTTAAGTTACGTCATGCCTAATCGCTGCTGACCTCTGGGCTAACTGGCTTGTTGCATGAAAACCTCTGAAGACAGTGGTAAAACAGCAACAAAGACTTAAAGATTCAGATCCAGCTCCTTCTGCTGATTTAGTATTCATTTTGGTTAACAAAAGCACCAAAATTTTATGTAGATTTCTTTGGTTTTCCTTCCATTTTTCTTTCCTTTTTTTCATGATCTCAAATGTTGCAGGAAATCATCATCATCATTAGTATCTTAGTGACAAAAATCTCAGCATTTCTGCACAGACAAGGTTAAAAATGGAGAAACTATGACCAAGTCCAAATTTCTCTCTGGGTTTTGCAGACAGGAACTGTTCATTGGGCCCCCCACGCTGCACAGTGTAGAACATTACACATAATCATACCATGCCAGCTCCTTCCTTTATTTTCTAAATCCTGTCTTTTTGCTTCTGGCTTTGCGATCACTGTGTGCTAACCTGTCTTTTTATCTCCAAGCAAGGTCAAGTTACACGGAAGCCCATACAGCCTGGCTCCCACTGGGATAAAGAGGAAGGCAGAAATGTTAAAACAGTAATGGCTATGGTCTGAGGCCTGCAACTGGTAATCAGATCCTAGCTTGGCAGTGGCTGTTTCCTTGGAGATTATTTGAAGAAAATAGGCCTGGTTTGCAGGAAGATATCTTTTTTTTTTCCCCCAGGCAAACACAGTGGTGCTTTTCAACCATGTAAACACCTCTGCAACACCAAGATTTTTCTTTTGGTCTCTGCTCAATAGAGAACAACCTCTTTTAGCTTCCCATCAGTCCAGCTTTTGTAAATGCTCACCATTAAAGCTCGCTTTATGGCTGAGGGCTTAGAACCAGACCTGTCAATATTCCCATTATGCTATGACCTCTCAGTCATTAGATATGAAAATACATTAAATACAATAGATTAAAATGAGCAATATTCTATTAAAGCCACATAGACAAATGCATAAATACCATGTGCTGATAGATCCAGGGAAATGCAGCAATAGCTTCCCAGTGAGTATCCAGTACTATTTTGTTTTATCTGGCCTTGAAAAAATGTCACTAATCTTAAAAATCATTTTATGAATAAAATGAGACCATTTTGTTTGTATATAAAAGATAAAATATTTCAATAAATTATTAAAAATAAGAAATAATTTATCAAACTTCTTTCGGTTTGTATATTATTACTTGTATTCTTTCCAGTTTCTTGTCAGTAATAATTAAAATTGGAGAACAAGTAATTTATATAGCAGCTTTTTCATTTTGGTTAATCCATTAGAATACTTTCAAAAGTTTGCTATAATTTTGCCAATAAACTGGTGGTTAGACAAAGACTTTGTGCAAATGTACTTCTGTCTTTCTCTGACAGATTTTTCCCTTCATCTGTGCCTTTATTATTTTCTAGACATTTACATTTTGCAGTTAGTCAAGCAAGACAAATTAGCCTTGTATTTTGGATCAAGGTAAGCTTCTGAGTTCTGTATCAGCCTGTAGCAGGGTGTTCTATAGCCAAAGTGTGAGTTCAGCTATGAATTATCTCATTTTGTTTGTTCAGCACCTGTCTCCTTCCTGTATTATTTAATGTTCTTGTACTGGATGCTTCAGTAAATTCATCCATAGTCACCTATTCCCTGCCTCGCTCTCTTCTCCCCTCAGTCCCATATTCTAGGCTGAAGAGCTTTACCTCATTTATTTGTTCCCTGTGTGGAAGCTGGTCCAGAACTCTGACTATTTTTGTTGCCCTTCTCTGTTAACTGCAAGGTGGTTTATACAGTGTTCAAACTGAAAACTCTTCCAGTTTCTAGAGCTTTAACAGATAGGAATAGAAAATTATTTACATGGTGCTCACACTTTGCGGTTATCTTTGATGACATAATCACCTTACACATGGTGTCAGCAGGGAGACCTTACTTTCATTTAAGCAGTCCAAATGCCACATCATTACTGTATTATTAATATGTGGTGTCTAGAGAAAGCGTATTACATATCATAAATGGAGAAGTCATTATAATATTAGGACTCATGAGTGATACATACTTCAGAAGATGTTAAAAAGCTCTTGCAATGCAAGCCCTACTTCCTGGGAATGAAGACACTGCATTCAATTATAAATGAATTCACTTCCTAAAAATGAACATATGCAAAAACATCATATCCAGTAACCCCTTGCGTATCAGAAGCCATTCATTCTATGACAAGTTTAAATAGTATCTTACTTGCATTCTCACAAATTTGCAGAATAACTGAATGATGCTCAATAAACTTCAGGACATTAAAAGAGGGAAGGTAGGTAACGAGGGGCTTCCTAGCAAATGCCTCATAGCTCCACTTGCACCCAGTAATGTCTTTGTAACCCACAACTACATTTAATGAGACACTAGCCCAAAGCAGGGAGTACAGTGTGGTAGGCAGCCCTAAGCTGGTTCTGTGGCTGGGATACGTTATGAAGAAACCCTACATGACAGCTAGAAACAGCTTATTTTCAGGTGTGTCTTGATGAAACCTTTTTATTATCACTCTTCATAGTCTCTTAGGCTGCTGTAGCCATTTAACTTAACTCCCAGTCAGCAGATAAACATTCATAGCTTATGTTTCCGATGGATTAGAAGGAAAGGGCTTGGTGCTTTCCAGAGAAACAGGATTCATACCACTGAAATAACAGGTCAAAAGGATGAGCACCTCCACACCCTCTCTTTTGTTTACAGCCCGTAATGGGAAATAATTACTGTTTGCTTGTTTTCTATGTTTGGTTGTTGGGTTGGGTTTTTTACACAGCAGCAAGGAAGACAGAAATATTTTTTCAAATGGGCAAATGTAGACCCATCTATGCCATAGTGCACCTGCCATTATAATTCTGCCTGCAGCGTAATTGCATGCCACATGCTAACAGAAGGAGCTAATCTTTTTTTTTCTTTTTCTTCCTTTTTTTTTTTTTAATTTGCACAGCTACACTACCTTCCTCACCACATGACATAGACAAAAATGTTGTCCTCTTTGTAGAGAGGACAGTTGTACTGTCATCTAAGATTTTGCCATCAAAGGTCTAAGAAAATTTCAGATCTTGAACCGGTACAGCTACACTGGCAGAACTTGGCAGAGCAGGCTGGACCTCTACTTCTGAAACAGTTAAGCAGGCATGTGAATTCTATGGGAGGTCTGATGCTGTAATCTCCTTTTATCTCAGAGGCAGTATTTAAAACTGCTTTCACCAGAACAAATAACACAGGTAAGATCTACTCATATGAGGAAAGATTATTTTGGGAGCCTGTTCCTGATGTTGGCAAACAACAATTACAGAGCAGGAAACACTGACATCAGTTTTAAGGAATATTTAAGAGAAAAACACTATCAAAACTCTTGAGTTTCTGAAGCATTAATACCCTTTGCAAGTGGAAAGATCATGTTAAGGACTACCAAGGTCATCTCTTAGAGGTTCAGGGAATGAACGTTGTGAAAAATGAAAATCATATTATCCCATGTATAACCTTTGGTAACTTTGGACCAAACAGGTAAATTTATGAGCAATTAAGTTGTAATTGAGTGTTACTGGTGGGTGTCTCCAGGTAAACTTCCACAAACAGTTCCAATATTAACGCATGTATCAAAAGAAAAACTAGCCTGTTCTCCCACAGTTCTGCTGACTCAGGGAGGTGGACGTAAACTAAAATAGGGCAAGCTAACCTAGTAAGAACAATAACTTTAAAAAAAGAAAAATCTGTGTGCAAGCATTCCAAATTGCCTTATCCTCAGTTCCTGTTTCTGGGCTTTATCTTCAGTCAAATATACTTTACCTGTCATTAGTATTGTCAGTAACAATTAAGTGCAAGATGC